CTGCGCCGTCATTGCCACAGATTCTTCGAATCTTTTAGAATATTGGACACGCCGTGTGCGTGTCATTGGGTGCATGGCAACTGGATATTTCCTTCCATTCAAAGGGTGGCTTCATGGCGTCGATTGTTTCATCAGTGCGACAATCTTTCCCTGTAATTTTACTCACTTACGGGTCTTTAATCTTTGTGGGCCCACATTCTGCGCTTTTGCGTCTCACTGTGCAGTCGTTTTCCATGTGTTGATATATCGCACCCGATACTAGTAAGTTGTGATAAGAATAAGGGCGATCTTAGTTCCTTTATCTTGATAAGTAGTTTCGTAGCTGGATGGGATTACTGTGCACGGTGTCCAAGTTGAGAAATGCTTGTATGCTAATGTATCTAATGAAATGACTGGTGGGCCCTTTAATATCTCTAGCGGCGTGAGACAAGGATGCCCGCTGTCACCTTTCCTCTTCAACTTCGCTATTGACGAAGTCATGGAAATCGCGTTCACAGGACACGACTTAGAAGGTGTGGATCTGCTCCCAGGAGAACGACTTCTTGACTTAGAGTATGCTGTTGATATTGTCCTAATCTGTGACAGCTCACAAACGTGTCAAGCGGCACTTGACAGATTAGCACTAGCTGTCCGTCACTTCGGGCTTTGCTTCACACCCTTGAAGTGCAAAGCGTTCATCCAGGATTTGTCTGGACCGTCTCCTTCGATGACCCTTGGTGGGGAACAGCTAGAAGTCGTTCAAAAATTCAACTACCTGGGAAGTTGTATCAGCGCCCGTGGGATTGAAGATGAGATCACGAACCGTATAGCAAAAGCTCGGGGCGCTTTTGCTAACCTTCGCCACTTATGGTGCCGGCGCGATATCACTCTTGCCCTAAAGGGTAGAGTGTGCAATGCAGCGGTACGTTCGACCCTGCTGTACGGTTGTGAAACCTGGCCGCTTAAAGCAGCGGACCTGAAGCGGCTAGTTACCTTCGACCACCGGTGCCTTCGTAATTTAGCTCACATCTGGTGAGAACACTGCGTGAGCAACGAGCGTGTTCGACGCCTTGTTTATGGCACGGGAAAAGGAACTGAACAGCTCAGCACTGTTATTTCACGCACCAGGCTCCGATGGGTCGGCCACGTGTTACGCATGCCAGCCCACCGACTCCCGCGACGTGCGTTGTTTGCATGCCGGGGGTGTGGATGGAAGAAGGAGGGGTTTCCGAGCGATGACTTGGTCGAGAGGAATGAAGGCCCTCACTTCTGAGCTAGCCTCGGTTGGAAAGTCTAGTCTCCCTGGTTGGGGTCAGAAAGACGATGAACACGTTTGATTGGACACACTTGCTGATATGGCTAGGAGCCGACCTCAGTGGCGTTCGTGCTGTGAGTTTCTTTGTCCCACCCCATCCCTCTTAGCCTCCCCCTCCAACCACGGTCTCATTATTTAGGATTATATAATTTTGCATAGTAATTTTTTTGATGCACAGTAGCCGGCTGGTAGCTTACCGGAACGATGGCCATCTGTTACCGGTAGCTCAGCCGGTTTGCAACAGTTGTTTTTCTTCTCCTTTTTTCTGTGTATTGCGGCACAGTAGCTGAGGTGTTCTCCACCTCTAGCTAACGTGTATGATGATGAATGACTGATGGAGACGTTACTTTACGTTGAATGGGGGGAATTACCCAAGCGTAATCCTTACGGATTCACAGCTGTTGTTGAAATTGCGTATTTTTTGAGTGTTACATAATTTTGTGTGTAAAACCTATACTTCAGTGTTTCCTTTCAGACATTTTCAGCTATCTTTTCGATAGATTCCGTTCCGAAGTAGCCTTTTGCTGTTCCCCTTCAGATTACAGTTTCCTAGGATTCCTTTACAACTTAAGAGATTATCAGAAGCCTACCCAGCCGGTGGTGGTCGCCCGGGAAGCATTCTAGCACAAATAAATGCGTGGGGTTTCCAGTCCGATAGCAGAAGCACTCCACGACTACTTTCATGCACTCGTTTGTTGGGGAAATAACAGTACGACTTGAATCCCGGACATCAATATTGCCGTCCGAATCTTTTGCCCCTAAGTCATCATGCCGCGACGAGAAACGCTTTCCACTTTTGGTGACTCGTAAATTAGTTCCGATGATTTGTCGCCTTGTTTTACGAAGAATTTGAAGTTAAAGATAGCGTTTTGCTTTGAACTAAGACCGGTGAACCCGGTTGGGTTGTCAAACAATTCTGGCACTATACTTCATGATTGCACTTAACGTGTACGTGTTTTGAAGCATGCGCTTGCTGACATGTCTTAATGAACGGCTGTAGTTTAAGACACACTTTTTTGGCGGCCAACCTGATCGTCGCTGAGTAAAAGGGAGGAGATAATTTGAAGTGTAGGTTAAGACTTGTTGCAATGTCATTCTATTAAGCGAGTTGTGTGACCAAGAACTGCCGCTCGCTGGCAGACTGGATGTAGCCCGTAGTTTAATGCGCAATTTATCGCCGGTGCGCTGAATCTTCAAATTCGATTTTGACATCATTATCTCAGCTGTCCTGGTTACATTTTGTCGCTAACTGCAAAACCTTTGGTCTCGGCTGGTAACTTATCGGGTTTCCTGCCACGAGCTTGACTGGTCCACTCTACTAGACTTCCGGACGTAACTACTCGCACACCATCACATGTTTTCATGCGCTGACTGCACCAGTGTTTTGAAGGGTCTGATGCATTTTTAGCGGTTCACTTAACGCGCTCTCAAACCACACATCAGCTTACAGCATCATAGGCTATTTGGGCGACGTTCTACTCTGTGGGACACCCTGTTCACTGCGCGGCAGTAGTGTCTAACTTAGTGAATCGGGCTCTGTTATCCACAGTTCACTCGTCCTTTAACTTACTGTCGACCTCCCGGTATCACTGATTCGAACGCGACTGATGTTGGTCTTGTGGTAGCGTCGGTATGAGTTGTTGGCGTACCGCGGATGCCTTACTCTTTTACAACACTTTGTATGCAGCTACTTATTACCCGTACGCCACACAAATGGCCATCAGCTTATGCTACGAAACCGCTAACCCTTGCGCACTAATGGTGCCTCCTCAGCAGGTAACGAAATGCTTGTAACTGAATTGCCCGGCTCGGAGAACACTGCATTAACTGGATAATCCGTTCATATGTAGCTCCGGTGTGATTCACAGCGATGGCGATGTTGGGGATTTTTCTCTCCGTTGTATTGAACGGAGCCTTCCTATTCTGTTACTCTCGATCGTATTGTCTCCGTCGTCCTCTACAACTCAGTTTATATTCAGCTCGGTTACTTACCTTTGGTTTGACTTCTGCCGCTGGGAACACATTAACCTACTAACCATGTTCTCCTGTATGCGCTGTATCCAAAGCTCTTTTAGCATTTTCTTCTGTTTCCGCTGTGCTTACTCTATCTTTATGCGCTTTGCCTATGCAAAAACCATTCCCTCTTTCCACCTATCAGCAATCCTAGTTGCTTCTGAACTGTCAACCCCACTCGTACATCTGGTCTCTCTTCTTGACGAATTTCGGCCTTCATAATGTAGCGATTTCTCTTCTTAGTCAACCTCCCTTCAGGCAATCTCCAAAAAAATCCGGAAAATTGCTAAACAGACATTTCGTCCTATTACAACTTGTCACTACGTGGGTGGATCAAAACGTTCTCGGCCCGACATCGAAAGAAGTCAACTATCCAAATCATATTTTGTTACTTTCTAACCTGATCTCCCATAACCTGAATACAGTTTGTCCAGCAGTGTACAAGCGTTGTTACGCCTCTGTGGAAGAAGCTTGAAGACTGTCCGTCCAAAAGTACTTCCAACCTCCCTGATCAGCTCATCAGTATTGACAAATCTGTGACCCCGGAGGCGAGATTTCAGTTTAGGAAACAGAAAAGTCTGCTGGAGCCAGCTCAGGTGAATGAGCGCGATGTGACAGGCATTCAAGGTCACAAATGGCCGTTTCTGGTACGACCACTTGGGAAGTGGGATCAGGTGCCTTAGTATTCAGAAAAAGAACTGCTGCTGGCTTCCATCTCCACTTTCCTCTTATCGCTCATTTCATTTAACTTACTTCTGAAGCGTATTACTCACCTGTGATAGTCTGACTCCTCAGCAAGAAGTCTATCTTGATTCGTTGGCCCAAAACACCGGGGCCATCACCTTACCTGCGGATGCCACTTGACGAGGAAGAGGAATCACTGTTTCCTTTGCTTACTTTAAGTCCTGGACTCTGGTTCAAAGTGATGAACCCAAGTTTAATCCTAGGTAACAAAACTTGCGAAAACATTTACAGGATTTTCCTTGAAACGAGTCAAAACTTGCCTCGAATTTTCAAGACTGTTCGATTTCTGATCTGGTGTCAACATTCGTGACACCCCTCTTGCAGTATGCCTTCTCATGTTAAAACAGCATGCACTAAGCCATAACTGATCGCCACAGCTATGGCTCTCTGGGAAATAGTTAACCTTCTATCATACAATATCACTCGGTGATTTGCTTCCACTTGATCATCAGACGTCGAGGATTTTGGGTAGCTATATCGTAGATCATCTTCATTGCTCTCACTGCTCGTCTTCATATTCGCAGCCCACACAACTTAACAGTGGTATATGAAGGGGCGCCTTCACTAAGTCTCCTAACCATATCAGAATGGGTTTCCTCTGGTGTCATGCTCTTTTTCTGCGGGCACTTGATCACAGCTCGGCTTTCAAATTTGTCCATTTTTAGAATTTGAGTAACCAAGATCAGTTAAGTGGATCATCACTTGCGAACAAATAAGCACAAAAACTTCCGACGTGGCACTAATACTTACTAGACAAAATAGTTTCATAAAAATCTTACTTTTCATTCAGTGCATTTACTTCCTTGTTGGGTCAAAAATGTTTTGATCCACCTTTGTAACTTACCTGACTTTGGTTCTATTTTGGATGGTACGGAACTCAATGATTTGATTTTTTTTCTGCTTGCCACTCTATTCTAATGAATGTCACTTTTTTTGTTTCCCATCCCAGGGCGAAAAAGATCACTGTCTCGCTTATGCACATGCGTGTCTGTCCAGCTTAGGCAACCTGTTGGCTCACCTCGGCCATCTCACCTCACCTGTTGTGACATCCTCACATCCGCTTCGATCTCCTCTCAGTTTGCATCTACCCCTCATGCGCCATGCATCCTGCTTCTTGGGTCTGGCCGTGGTGCAGCACGGGGCAGATTTGAGACAACTTCTTGCCGAGTATCTGTACCCGAAGCCGTCTCTCCTGTGCAGATTTTTGGAAGAGCTTGCAAACACTTTGGTGAGACCATATTTCCGTGTATCTCCTTAGTTTCGGTACTCATTGTACGTCTTGCTCACGCCTAATTTCTGTTTCTTTGTGTCTACTGGTCGATTCCTGTTGTCTATTCCAACATATTTTGTTCAATATGCGGTACAGTAGCTGAGGTGTTTCCCACCTCTAGCTGACGTGTATAATGATAATGATGATTTTGTTCACTTAACTAACTCTTACTGTCACCGTTACGACCCGTGACAAGTCAGACATTGACTGTGTCATGATGTCTCCTTCAAGGCCGCTTGTTAAAATGAGTCATCCAACTTGGGCTGTTGTAGGAGTAGCAAACTCTCGTTAGCACATTTTGAAATGGCAGTACCTTTCTGGTCTGGACGTCAATGAAGACCTTATCATCAGTACCTTAAGTACCTGTATGCCAGTCAGATGCAGGGAGCTTTACTCAACCGTGCGGACCTGCTCTGTGGTTTACGCACCCGCCATGTATTTTGCTGCTACTCGCGTTTTGGGGACTGAAACGCTTTCCTTCAGGCTTGTTTTGCTGACCATTTGTTCCTCATTGATGTGTTGAAATTCATCGCCCCCGGTAATCAATCACCTGATGCCTGTTTTCGCACAGTCCGACGAAGAACCGTCTACTTTTAACGGCAACGGTTTCTTGTCCCATTTGGGACAAATGGAAGGCGAACTGTTGACGACTCCCGAAAGGATGAGACGGTCGGCTAGTGATTGTTCAGTGGCTAACATAGTGTGACTTTGCCGAATTTCCATGGAAAGTAGGTAAATCGTCAAAAAATCGTGCATTTGCAAGATGAACTAGATTATAAAATTGACGCTTGTTAAAAGGTTCAGATGCGGGGCAGGTTTCCTTCAATCGGCTCGCAACATGTGCGGTCAGCGCAAGCGTTCATTCACGCAGGTTTCGTGCTACTGGCCTGGGTGCTAATGCTATGTAGCACAACGCGCCGCGCCATATGGCTGATGGTGGTAATTTGATTTCTCTAATGCAGTCGTTAGTGTGTTGTTGAGGAAGCAGAATAACCGTAAACAACCGGTGATAACTAATAATAAATGATACCCTACTATGCTTAATTTATGAAATCATTTGGAAGCGCCGCGCGAAGCGTTTACACGTTGATTGTACGACCCATAAAGCTTATTTCCATTTGCAGTGGATTGTCGAGAGAGTCTCTTGTGGATTTCCTTATTAGAAAGCATCTACACCACTTCTCGGCCAAGTTGTCGTTTTGGGCAACAGGATTAATCTGAGGGGGCATCCAACATGAGTCTACTCAATTAATTTGGGAAACAAAGGCCAACATGGTGCATGATCCAGCGACATTGTCCCAGGTGGGGGTTGAACCGTCCCACATGCACCCCTATGAATTAGTGCGTCGGAGGTCCAATTGGCTGAAGGCGACGGGCTATATACGCACACCTACACACATGCACAAGTCAATGGTGTACGCACGGATCACATTAATTGAGTAGACTCATGTTGGATGCCCCCTCAGATTAATTCTGTTGCCCAAAACGACAACTTGGCCGAGAAATGGTATACATGCTTGTAGTAGATTTTCCCTCAAAATCCTTCTAGACCCTCTTCATCCACTACATTCTGACCTATCAAAATTACTAGCTATTTCTTCTACCCGTTCTAAATTTAGTGACGTATTTTCTCATACTACATCCTACCACAATTCTGTTCTACCGTAACTGTTCACCTTGATTGTTGACCCAACCAAAACTATCAGTATGATACGAACTGATTTGCCCGAGTAATATGTGTAGACCAATCTTTGACGATTTATTTTTCTTCTTTAACAGTAAGTTCATATACTTTATTATCCGCACTGTTAGTGTAACATGTTGAAAATGCATAAGACTTACTTTGAATTCACTGACTGACTTAACTTGATCAACCAATATATTTATATATTTTTCGCATCAGTCTACGAATCGACAAAGAGCCATCAAAATCATGGAAATCAAAGCAAGATACAACTGTCATAAACAAAAAAGCGAACACAACACAGAAAAATCCATGGTTTCCTCAGAGGGCGAGACATTACTCGGTTGCCCAAGCTGAAGTAGGGTTTTGACTTAGGGGACACCACCCCGGGAGCCGGTGACTGATTGCTCAGTTTATACGACTTTCCTTTGTTCGGTTGACAAACAAGGGCCCAATCCTTCCCACAATTCGCGTTTCGCGTTGCTTCACCGGAGTGAAGCAAGGGACAACTTAGTGGCGAGTCACATTCGCCACGTCGCAGTGTTGTTAAATGGATATATGTGGCTTTTCACCGGGCGAACGCTTGCCAGGCGAAAACCCACCACCTCCTGGAACACTACCGCTGAACTAATTGCTGGAGCGGGATTGACACGAACCACCCAGCGGGCTCCACGAGCAGGTTGTTCGGAAAGCCAGCCAAGCAGTACGATTGTTCTACTTAATTTCTGAAGCAGTGTTGTAATGTGATCTGTGTAGGGTTCACTATTCCATTCCATAGGAAGTGCTCCTCCTAACACATTGCACTTCCACACATGTCATTGACCTTCCACCTAATCTTCGTCGGTTCCATTTTGCTTTGCATTCAGTGAGTCGTACTCATCCATGTAGATTTTCTGGAAGAGAAGTACCACGTAGTCATGGGAATAGCGTCCTACTTCCGGGCGCGCAGATCTTGGTTCACTGATTGGACTGGGGCTGTTGTTTCCCACCTAGTCGCTGCAATGTTCTTTGCTTCTTCACTATCAATCACTTCTATGATTAAATGAACACTGACTGTTCTCCTCCATTCCCGCTTCATCTCTCACTTCCACCTCCATTTCACGCTTCTCATCGAAGCGCCTAGTGTTGTGAATAGTTTGGTTATAGCGCACTCACATTCCCTTGAAACCACTGCAGCTGGGTTTATGCTACTGCTTGCACTTTTGTTCCGTTACAAGTCATACGCTCGTGCAGAGCTACACCTGACCTATTGTACGTTGTTGCTAGGTGAAAGGGCACGTGTTCGCACCAGGTCTCACCCTCGTCTAGCGTTATGGGACGAACTATGCTGTAAACGCGCCGACGTATAATCTATGTTTGCCTTTGTTTGTGTTAGTAAAAACGCTATGGATGTTGATAGTCACTCTTCTCTCCGGTTCGCGGTTCATTAGTGGAATTCGCTTTTGGACGTGGGTTTTCGCGCAGCCTCCGATTCCGATTCCGATTGATTGATCTGCATTTGAGGAACAATACGAAGCAGTCATTCTACTTCCTCCAGCATACCAGGTTCGGAAATTGTAATGTTTCCGAGTAACTTGTCAGTCACCGTATTTGCTCTTCTCAAACGCAGTGAACTTACGTTTATGGAAACCTGTGAAACGCTGACTTTTTATTGCGTTTTGCAAATCGTTTGGCGCTTTCGTCTTTCTACCGTTCTCATGGCTTGTTTACCGTTCCATCGACAATTTCACGCCCCACATCTCATCCCCCTTCAACTTTCTCTTTTGGGCACTCATGATGCCGTTGTGAGCTCCCTTTTGACGATGCTTTCCCTTACTAGGAGCACTTGGAGCATCGTGATTGGGCTTCCTTCATCGGGCAACGCTATCGCAGCAAATTATGACATCCTTACGGTGATTCAGTTAAGATGAAGATCTTCGAATACTATTCTCACGCTTCTCACACTCAGCGTGTTAGATCTTCTCTTTTGTTCTTCCGGTCAAAACGGTCACGTTAACTGTGAGCTCCCTATCCCAGCCAGTATATTAGAAGACAATTTTGTCGCAAAAGCGTGCTGAAAAAGCAACTACGGATGCAGTACAAGCTACCTGGAAAGCATCACGTTTGAAAGTCAACCTAAGGGCATTGGAATTCTGAAACAGCGATGTTAGCTGCCATATACAGTAGTGTGGGTGCATACGTCACATGAGGGACTGGAATTTTATTGGAACGACTCTACTCTTCTGTTGAATGTTATTGGTTTGAAGCCTTTTCTTGCCGAAATAATTGATTTTCTTGATAGATTTTGCATTCTCTCTGACATATGGTATTGGGACAACTGATGTATAACTTAAGAGTCTTAGCTGTTTTTGCATCGAGCTAAAGTCATTTCAACTCGCGATTTAGCCGACACATTTCTCTTTCGCTGGTCCATGAACACACTGATCAAGGCGATAGCATTTTACTTGTCTATCTATTTGTCGTATCGAGGCAAAGCCGCATGTGTTCCAGTTTTACAACTACTTATCCCTCTGTTGCCATCTACACCACTCACTATTCTGTTTGACGTTGAATTTCCCCTCAGCTCGGATGCCATGAAGTCATTGTGGGGTATTGGATTCGAAACGGACAGGCGTTGCGTCAGTCAATAACGCATTACATGCAGAGTCAGTTCTGCTATTCCTTTATTGACTTGGATATCTTTGCCTTCCAGGTAGGTGGCTGTACATTTTGACCATTTCAGCGCCATCGTACTAACCAGCAATCTACCACAATCCTTAACCCCATTATTATACATTCCATGTAAATGTGTTTTGGGCGACAGTGTTTTTTCGTATGCGTTTGTTGCTTAAAGTTTGTGGTTCCTCTGGTATATCACCTCCTTTCTTCTGTGCTACTGCAATCGATTCTTATTGCGACCGTATTGCGTCTAGATTTCATCTCTCATGTGCGCGGAACCTCGAATACTCTGCACCCGTGATTCCTCCTCCTTAGTGTCACTTCTTAATTTTTTCTCATGCCCTTCGGATGCATTTGTATGTACATACTCTAACCACTTGGCGCATCACTTCTAAATCATTCGCCCATCCATTTCTCGTCCCTTGCCCCTGAGTGACTTGTGTAGTTGAACGCGTCTCCTAGTAAACCTTTATGCTACACACTTCTTGTATCAAGAGCATGATTTATGCACCTTTGACAAGGGAAGATTCAACTACTACACACGCTTTTCAGCCATGATAACAGCTAGTTTGGTAGCAACAAATAGTAGTAAACACAACGGACGGATAAATCATAAATGTGCCAACACTAATTCTTCAGCGGCATAGTTGCAGTCTAGCCAGGTAAGTGCTAGATGAAGGACAGCGCTAATGAACTATTTGCCCATGCACCTTCACTCCCGGTTTTGTAACTTCTCATGGAGAATGTGGCTGACACTGGTGAGCATTTTTACAGGAATTGCGTGCTACTCGTGCGATCCTGTGCTTTGTGTTAAATTGGACTTATCCCCTCATATTCTTGTGCCACCTCTTCGGAAGTACGCTCAATCGATTCGGATCACCGAGCTCTATCCAACGGGGTCTGTATTTTTCAAGTAAGTCCAACGACACGTTGGTACACCACAAACGAACTCTTCGAAAGTCTATTCACCAAGGCCAACCTGAGTAACTTGGCTTATTTGAGTTTAATCAATATCTTTAAGATGCCATTCGCAGAGCTTTAAGGCTATCAAGCAATATATAACTTAGTACTGTGCAACACTGTATCCCATAGCTACAGGCATTTTTTCTCATCTCACCTCACCACCATATTTTACGTGCATTTCACTGCACAATGCCTGTGTGATTTTGGCTACTCGTGCGCCTAGTGACACACCACCACCAAACCCGCTGACCGGAGCAGACAACTGAGACAACCCAAACGGCGTGACCAGGGCAACCTAAAAGAGCATACCGACCATTGATCCATGGGCCGGAGAAGTTTGTCAACCGGGAATCCAGTGCGCAACAAACCCAAGATCAATCGTAGCTCAGACAAGAGGGGAACAGAGATCCTCTCGTTCTGTGCCAATTCCTACGACGCAACAAATGTGAACATTACACTTAACGGAGCTAACAGCGTATCGACAGATGGGTTGTGGTTCTGTGACTTATGTTCAGATAGTCCGATAATTAACATTGTACATACGCTTAGGATAAGGTGTGAGCTGTTGGCTGTTACGTCGGCAAACCAAAAGAAACTGAACGCGGTATTGGGAGGGAAAATCTCAGAACTCGAGTTGCGGATTAGTGCATTACGTAGCCCGAATCCCAGACCTGTTAAAATGCAAAAGCTCTCTAGCAACAATGCTACCCAGTCCAGCGAAAGGCAAACACCGTTAGTAAAAAACAGCAGTGAAAACAGGCCGGTTGAACGGTCTCCTTAGTCTCACGTAATGCTCCGAAGCATGCAGAGTTACGCACAAATTGCATAGTCACCTTCGTCAGTAGCTGGACAACAACAATTGATTCCTACAGCTAGTGCAACTAACGGTGTTGCACGAAAGAAAATTTCGCTGTAGCCTTGGTCTGTCGTCCACGGAAGACAAGCCAGACACTCCTACTCGACAAACCTACGCTCACTAGGAACTGCAAAACAAACAATTACTACGCAACCGAAAGGCGATGACAGTGATATGTTCGAACGTCCCAGAACCCATTAGCGAATCTCTATAAGGTAGACAAGCCGAAGAGCAAAACCACTGGGCTGAATTAACCTGCGCACTCGGACTGAAAGTTCTCCCAACTAGTCTTGCACGCCTTTCACGAAATCCATCATCTCCACACGTAGGGGAGCCTCGGTTTCTGCGAGTAATGTTTCACAATACACGCGACTTGGAAGCTGTTCTCTTAGCAAGCCACATTCTGCTGAACTCTTCTGTCAGTGCCCGCATTTTTCCTGACAGGCCATGTGCAGAAAGACAAGCGGAAATTCAACCCTAGTTCGTCACGTCAAATCAGATGGAGAAAGTGGTACTGGTTCATGGTGTGTCAGAATTGAAGCATGACGATAGCAGTGAACGACAGAAGCACGATATCGAAGAATGGAAGTACATCACAGCGCTCTACGACATGCAAAATGTCTTGGTTTTTGACGTCACCCGTCTAGCTGCCTCCACAAACTACTAAGGCAGCGGGCCACGAATTTTGAAACTTACATTGGCTGCGCTCGAAACGGTATCAGTGGCAATCCAATCATGGCATGACAACAGGAAACTAAGGCCACCAGAAGTACGGTTAAGACCATTCCTTCAATTAGTACAGACCTCAGATACAGATGAGCCAGTCTCAGTTGTACCTATCTCAGATCAGCCAACCGTGCAAACAACCGTTTCAAAAAACTTCAGCAGACCGGCACTATTTGTGCCGGTCACTCACAGCGAACCGAGCTCCTGATGCGTCAACAAATACAATGCTGCTACACTAACACTCAGGGGTTGTATTCTAAGCTCTCGGAACTGCGCCATCGACATGAAACAACAACTTGGGACCTCATAGCAGTTACTGAAACTTGGCTCTCAAACGACATACTTGATCCAGCGATTGTACACAGTGAGATGTCAGTCATTCGAAATGATCGTCCATCTCGGGGTGGCGATGTTGCTCTCTACTATCGAGATTATTTGAAATGTGAGGCTCTTACCGGAAATTCTCTTGTTATTCCCGACGCACTATTTTGCCGACTGCACCTAGCAGGTCGAGATGTTGGTTTCGAGAAGACGAGTGATGCTTGCCTCTTAGCAGTTATCTACTGGCCTCCGAACTCGTCAGCAGACATCCATAACACTCTGTTAAACGCCCTCCGCTATGCTGTTCACAAAAGTACTCTCACTATCTTATAATAGGTGACTCTAATGTTCCTTCAATAGCATCACTGTCCCCTTATGGGCCGTTATTTAAATCGAAACTCCTCGAATTCATGGATATGGCAGTTTTGTATAATCATGTGCATCGACCAAACAGACACCGCAGTTCAAACAAGCCATCACTTCTGGACTTAGTCCTGACTATTGAAGAGTTGATGGTTGAGTCAGTAGCATACGATCCTCCACTGGGTCGCCGCGACCATTCATTCCTAAAATTTAGTTTTCTTGTTATGCCAGTATTGTTGATAAAGAAAGATCGACTCAACGAACTACTACAGACTATTTTAAGCTGCACAAACCGGCGTGAACCTCTATGCAAGGGAGCTCTTGCGTCCTAATTCCCATATCTTGCTGTTGACGTTACTATTCCAGTCATTTACAACTTTTAAATGTTATATATAGAAATTGGGTGTTGCCTGCCCGAAAACACCACTACTATGACGCGTTTCGATATTATTACATCTCATCAGATAGAGTTAGCAGGCATCGAACCCGGGACCATTGGGATGTTAGTTGTGACCGCTACCCCTAAGCCACCGGGTCACGACGGGCAACGCTTGGCACAACGGTATAATGAACGATGTTGAGGGTCATTTTGAAGTACACGTTGTGTGGATGGATTGCGACGCGCAATCTCAATGTTGACCGCGATTCCCATTGAAGTGAACCTTGGTCTTGCGATCACGAGGACCGTAGCTTATGCAAATGTTATACTTGACTCGAATTCTCCTCTAGTTCCGCCATTGTCATTTATTATGATACTAATGGTTACATGGGAGCGGCATGGAGAGTTAAATGATAATAGTGGAACTTCATCATCACACTTGGACTCAGCTAGACAGCGACCATGCGCCCGGAAAAGCACTGTACGGCCGCTTCGTAAGCAGTCTGCATTCCATCAGGCCACTATAGGGCTGAAGCCCGCAACCCAACTGTTACCACTCCGTGGTGAAGGCCACTGGACTGCTAGTGACGGTAACGACCATCATGCGTAAGTTATTAGATGTGACAGAGCCGCTCACTACACACCTTGCTACCGTGCAAAGGACATGATGTCCCCCTGAGAAGACGGAAGGGTCGTTCGGTGCTTTACCGGGCATGCGATGACTGCCTGACTGAGTCTAACTGTGATAAACTTCTGCTGTGCTCCCTGAGTCATGGCAACTCAGTCCATCACCATTTGTTACTGGGATCAACCTTATCCAACTGATTAACGTTAAACTTTTTATATGTCTGCTTTGCTTTTTGTAACTTAGCTATAGTAGACTCCTGTCTCCCTTTTTCTTATATTATCGGACTACACGAGTGGTTTTTCCTGCCTCTAATCAATAATCTTCGGGCATCAACGTGGTCCCATCGTGCAGTACTGAGACACCATTTCCTTTCCACCTAGGTATGTGCCACATTACTCCCACCCGCCTATGTGCTCAACACGCTTTTGGATTCAACCCGGCTCTTACGAGACATCAACTTTTATGATGAGTTACTACGGCTTGTCGCTCCACCTGAGGCGAGAAATCTGGATCGGAAGCCCATGGCGCTGGAGGCTTGGTTGCTCAATTTGTGCTGGATTCTCGATATTCGGAACAATATATGTGAGCAGCTTCCCTCTTGATTCATTTATGTGTGTGTGCGTGTTCTAGTTTGGGATTGGCTTGTACATTCCACACCTGACATGTTTGCCTATTAGTCTTTTTTGCTTATTTTTCTTCATTTTATTCTCATTTCCGCTCTATTAATAGCGCCCTGATCACTTGTACGTCAGCGCTAGGATCACGATTGGACAACTAAATTAACCTGCTCACCTTGTGTCTAAAATTGGGTTCTCTCTCCTGTTCTCTGTTCGCGCCGATTTTGCCTGTGAAGATTGTTGGAGTTCAGTGGCAGAAGCGATCTGTTTACACGCATTTTACTACATTTTAATAACATAGTAAGAAGTGAACCGATCGCTAGTTTATTCGGCTGAGCTGTACGCTACCGAGCGCGTACCCAGGTTGCAGTTCGGGGTGTACCTTTCTTGTGGAGGTAACTGTGAAATACTCTAGTCGGTTTGCAGGTGAAAGGAATGAGCAGTCGCAGACAATCAGGGGCAACGTCTCAGAGCGTGGGGAGTTCTGGGCCGTCACCTTGTTCTCCATTAGGTACCACAAGAGCGCGTACGGTGCTTTGTAAGGACCGATGTGACCGACTATAGGTTCACTGACCACCTCTGTTAACAGAAGTGAGTACACAACGGAGGATCTGTGGAACTATCTCCACGGCCACCGGCTTCTATGTGGACTGACCAATATGAAGGCGTATAAACCAACTGGATGTCAACAGCCTTCGTGCCTGTCAGCGAACTCGGTTGTCTGGGAAGCTTTACCTGGCCTTGCTGCTGCTATACTTGGGCTCCTTTTACGATTTGAGTAAGAAAGGAACACAGGCTTCATTAGTACGCGGGATTCCATACAGACCATTCGCTGTTTCATGACAACCCTCGGTCGCGTTTGGGTTGGGTAAATTGCGAGATCACCCGCATCTTCGCGGATTCTAACTCACGATCTCCGGATTACAAGGCCAACACGTTTCCTCCCAGCCACTGAAGTCTGTAAACTCATCGAGCCACACTTGACGAACTCGGACGGACATCATTTCTGAATCAGACGATGCGATTGTAATGTCCAACTATTTAGCCGCGCCGACTTGGTGAGTGTACCATTGTAGCATCGATCTGCGACAATGGTCGTCCGTAATTGGTACTGTGGGGGTTAATATACTTTTACATAGGAGTAAATCAAATACAGTTGACTTTTCCTCTGTTGCTGAACTCTCCACTTCACTCTTCAGTAGTTCACTTTACTATGATCCCGACCGCAGATGTCAATATGCCGGTCATCCCGATTAAGTTGTATTTCATGAGCGTGCGTATGGGTAGTCTTGGTCTTAGATGCACTCCGGCCGGCCAACCGCTACATCCTACATCTTCCGTGAAGGACCTAGGTGTACTGCGATTTGAAGTCGAACAGTCCATATGGAAACGGACTGCGCATGCTTTAGGCGCTCAAACATAGCTGTTGAAATTGATCTGAAGAGATTCGCACTCACTTCCTCCCTTTCATCATTAGACCAACGTTCGATCACGACTCACTCGCTTATTGTCCGGTCACCAGTCGCGAGGTGTGAAAATTGGAACATGTTGAGAATGTGCGTACCAGACTCAACCCCAGTTTACGGCATGTGCCTTGCGTAGACCGATGCAGACGACTAGGACTATACACCCTGTCGTATCGACCGTTTAGAGTTGACCTCATTATGACGCATCGGATATTTCAGCTGGGTCCTTCCCCATACTGAGGCCACTGCTGCAGTACGCGCACCAAGCGGCAGTCGCGGCCACCGATACAAGCTAGTGGTACCGGAGCCCCCCCCATCATCACTTCGGACGTCAGGTGGTAAAATATTAGAACAGTTTGCCCCATAAATATGTTCGGGGCGAAATCGTGGTCGGAATTCAAGTAATTCCCAGACATCTGTTTTGCGGATTTCAGATGCAGGGAGCGCATCACACCTGAATATGACATCGCACAACCGAACTACGTTGACATAATTGATGACGATTTCTGCGTGCGTGCTCGATATCATATCGATGTAGTAACACATATGTATGTCTTCTAGTTCCCTATCATCAATATTCAGTATTCTGGACTTCTTTGGGACGTATGGCTCTCAATGCACTTGTGCTGTGTTACTCCGCCTGGCTCATGGATTCGCAGACATGTAAACCACACAGCATATCAAGAGAGTAGCCCCCTTACATCACAAAATAAGTTGCGTGCGGACTCTCTTTCGTAGATTTGAAACACATTGCAGCACTCTTGAGGCAAAGCGAAAAGAAGAGATGTATCTGTTCAGATCATTTCATCCAAATGGATATCCACATAACTTCGTCCGGCGATGTCTAAACGACAAAGCTACGGCCCCTCAGCCAGTTCAGACGACAACAAAGAGAATCGTTCCACCCTATGTAAAGAACATGTCCGAGATGACAGCAAGACTATTCACACAGAACGGTCTTGCAGTGTCCCACAAACCAACTGCCACGTTGAGGAGAACTCTGTCGAACCCCAAAGCTACACCCGGAACACACGAAAGAAGAAATGTTGTTTACAAGGTACAATGTCAAGATTGTGATAAAAACTATGTGGGCTAGACAGGAAGACCACTGTCGACAAGAATACAAGAGCATAAGAGAACTTGTAGGTACCACAACACTCTCTCACTGGTTTCAACACACAGACGAAGAAGGACATCGCTTCGATTGGAACAACACAGAGGTCCTAGCAAAAGGAGAGACATGCAAAGGAAGAGAGTTCCTCGACGCAGCATTCGATAAGCATGCAGATAGAGGTTGATCTAGTGTACCAAACATTGAGACGGAGAGAACTAAAACACCTTTTAACGAACCTTTGTGGTCGGCTAAACGAGCCATCAACGACATATCAGCAACAGCCGGGGCAAAACCATCCCACGGATCGCCCGTGTTCATAAGAGTTGGACAGACCGGTGAAGGTCACGGGACACAGATCGAGGAGGTCAGTTCAAAAGTTACTTGCTGATCGATTACAAATCGACGAACAAGTCAGCGGATTACATTTGACCCAGCAGCGCACTGACAAAGTCACCTCGTTTGGTGATGAAACGTTTGCATCCCAATTACGAAATTCGGGGAACAAGTGAACTCAGAAACGATCAACCCGAGCTACCAATCATTTTGAGCCCCCTGACGTCCCGTTGTGTGTGTGTGTGTGACGATCCTTCTGAAAAAAGTACGTACCTTATGCTGATCGAGATTATCTTCTGCGGATTAGACAAAGATGCTCCGGTCATTTTACGCACGCAAAAGTATCCACTTGTACGGCAAATCTATCAACTATCCTGGCTGTTTATTGCTCTCATTACCCGATCCATGGGTCCTTAGTGCGAGTCTAATAATGACCGATTTTCATCGTCTGCACATCGTAGCTAAACGATTACTTACCACATTTATCTGTTTACTGCACTTCATCAGAGCCAAGCAGTATTATTGTTCCTTTTCTTATGCGTTCATTGCCATGCAAAACGTTTGAATCCAATTGAATTTTACGGCCAAATCTTTTTTTGCATGCCACTGTCGTGAAGCATTCAATACTTGTTTCAAGCTCTTAACTAACAATCCAACACTTGTAATGGGTTGCTTATGCCACTGACTGATTATTATTATTATTATCATTATCGTTATTATTATTATTATCGTCATTATTATTACTGCCTGGTGATCTTTGTTCATCCAACTGACGCAACTGCATTTCGATGCATTGATTGATCAGGGTTGATTACTGAACTATTCTGATCTTGCTTGTTGCCACCAGATAAATTCGTCCGGGCGGTGTTCCCCTGTGACCGCCACCTTATCTCTGAATGCTTTACTCTCCAGCAATTGACAGGTGATAAACTCCAGATGTTGCTTTGTAAATTTCTTGACCATAAGTGTAGTATTTCTGATGGCTGTTGAACTGTTCGCTGAGCTTGGCAATTTTGTTGCAAACGTTTCGTCACCAATCGAGGTGACATCATCAGTGCGTAGTTGAGTGGCGTGCAATAGCGTAGAGGAGCCTCGGTGAGAGTGCCGAGGCTCCTCTACGCTACTCTACTCTAGTGCACGCCACTCAACTACGCACTGATGATGTCACCTCGATTGGTGACAAAACGTTTGCAACAAAATTGCCAAGCTCAGCGAACAGTTCAACAGCCATCTGAACAACCTGAGCTACCAGTCTTTATTGCTATAGTATTTCGTTCTGAATCTTACAACTAAACGTCTTTTCAGGTCCTGATTATCTTAAACTATACGTCAGACACTTTGAAAACTTTCGCGGTTGCTTGACACTAAATGCTGAAGGTAACCTTCGTCCAGCAACAGATTGCTGACATTCACTACCTTGTTTTACTTTGACTCAAAAGTGAACTTTTGAACTTAGTCGCTCTGTACATCGCTTCATTTGTGTAAGTGCTTTTAAGCGCAATACATATTCCTGTGCTCATCCGCATGTGCTAACTTCTCGCTCGTGCTTGGTGGAGTGCTACACGCTCAAACAATGAACGCTCACCGTACGAGTAGCTACTTCCGCTGGAATTTACCAGCATCGATAGGTATCAGGCTTGTTTGTAACGGTGATTCCCATAAAACTGTAACATTTTTAGCCATTCATTCATCATCAACACACTGCCGTTGTTGTGTGCTATTGTCGCGAGCTGACTGCTCATTCTCTCCGATTAGATATCGCCTCCAAAAGTATGGTGGTTATGAGCGATAACTTAATTTGGTGAAATGAATCCACAGCAACCCACCGCATGCAGCAATTGTTCGCCTTGCTTAATGGGGACTATTATGCTTCACGTAATTAGGTACTATTACCAGTATCCATAGTATGTATGCGCATTCTGAAAGTGTTTTGAAGGCTATTCTTGTTTGTATTGTTTTCTCATGGTCACCTCATACGAACATTCGGTCCAAGAAGCCAACACAAAATGCTTGGTACAGCCGCTTCACCCAAAAATTCCACTGCATAATATGGGTCGGATATATATATATATATATATATATATATATATATATATATATATATATTTGGCGGCATCCGGTTTCGGATTTGCCTGTCACTGTGGCCAGCCACAGGACGCTTGCGCTTCACCACCCACAGCTCCAACCACACACCCCATTTCCATTGTAAACCCGAAGGAATAAGACCGGGAAGCATGTGGATGGGAGCCACGTTTCATCTACGGAGCGGGCCCACACTTCTTCACAGGCAAACACAAGCAAGCTGTATTTGGGGAATCAAGCGCGCATCAGTCCTTGAATAGACAAAGAGGCATCAAAAAACCATGTAAATCAAGGGAAGTTGCAGCTGTCATAAAAACGAAAACCAAACACAACACAGAGAGCCAGATCCTACCCCGTTACGCAAGCGGAAGTAGGTTGTAGACTTAAGGGACACCGCCTTTGACAAAATAGCCTACCCTGAAGACAGTGGAGCGAATTCAGGGAAACGCGCCCATTTGGAACCGATGACTGATTGCTCAGTTTATACGACTTTCCTTTGTTCGGTTGACAAACAAGGGTCCAATCCTTCCAACAGTTCGAGTTTCGCGTTGCTGGATACAATACTCCACCGGAGCGAAGCAAGAGGTAATGACTTTATTTACTGGCGAGTCACATCCGCCACGTCGCAGTGTTGTTAAATGGACATATGTGGCTTTTCACCGGGCGAACGCTTGCCAGGCGAAAACCTAGCACGTCCTGGAACACTGTCGCTGAACTATCTGCTGGAGCGGGATTAACCCAACCACCCAGCTGGCACCACGAGGAGGTTGTTCGGCAAGCCAGCTGGGCTATATCGCAGTTAGATCAGTGGCGTAGCAACTACGTTTCGGTCCTGGACGGTGATAAAATGTTCGCCCTGACTGACGGCAGAATAGGCGCACGAAGTTCACACAACCGGCGCAGTGTAAAGGGCACATTAGTTTTCAATTAAATGGATGGTCGTTTGGGGCACAGGTAAATGTGGTGAAATTGACCACAATGAGACAAGTGAGGGGATTACTGGGAAAAATATTTGCACAGGTGCGACACATGGCACACAGGCTGTGTTGGTCATGCAGAGTAACATTAAAATATTCAACCTTCAGCTTCTCCAGATGTTTTGCCCTTTTTATTTCTTATCCAACACTCGAAGTTGCTAAAATTGCCGCCCGGGGCGGTCCACTCGCCAACCCTTCCCCCTGATGCTACGCGCCTGAGTTCCATTTCAATTCATGTTGGTAGGCTATTGTCCGCCATGGTTCAGTGACATAAGCTACTGGCGGTTATGGGTTCGATCTCCGAAATGGGACCGACGGAATGCGCATCACTGACGAGCTCCAATATGGCCTAACGATCATCTGGTGCTTTTCCGAATTGGTACTCCACCATTGTGGCTCGCAATCTTACTGCGACGAGCCAGATAAATCTTACCAAGTTTGTCGACTCATAACTAACTATTACTTTATTGTACTCGGTCAGGTCGGCTTGTTTTAATTCAAGGCACCCAAAATGTTTGACGACACTTTCTTCACTCATATCCACTAGCACTTCTTCAACATGTGGCCAAGGTGAAATTATTCGAAACGCTCAGGTTAACGGTTTAGGTGTTTACCTAGCTGCACAATCAGCTTCCATACGTTTCGTCATCAGAAGAGGCGACATCCTCAGTGCGTAGCGATTGAACCTATCGCTGTACTCTGATAATGTCACCCAATCTGTCGATAAACCAGTTGCCACCTGATTTCCCAGTTTGGTAAGCTCACCAACATCGTACCATCTTTCTGTCTCATTCAGAACCTAACCTGTGTGCCTCGATTTTCGAAGATTTGCACTTCCTGTCACTTCAGCTTCTGTTCGTTGGCCCTATTCACCTTTTCTTTCTTTGAAAACTACTCTGTTTCAAGGCCTCACGGATGATGAACTATTGAAAAAAGAACTACTATGCGTATTAGCACCGGAACCTCGGAAACGGAGTGATTTGTCCAGCCTAATACCCGAACGTTGTGGTATCACTGGGTCGAATAAAAACCTGGATGTTTTGCTCGAAAAAGTACGTTCACGTTTTATGTACTGCTGTCCGCGTTTCTTACCACTGCGCACGCGAAACTATCCGCTTCCGTCGACATTCATCTTTCGGTCTGCCGGCCTTCGACTTCTGCATATTTTTCACCCCCTTCCCCGCTCTCCAAGGTGGCAACTTATTCGGGACCGTCGTGCAACGAAACCTCAGGCAGTCTCACCAGTGGTCATTATTTCATGCATCCGACGTTGTGGCACACTGACTTCGACCCCATTTTCCATTCCCTCCGAGTCACCAGCCGACGTGAGAGTGCCGTTGCGATGGACAAATATCGTGAACAGTGAGTTGTTTGCTGTGCATTGTCTTTTTTCTCTCAACTTTGCCATTCCGATCCGTGTACCACTGTTCTGTTGATTAAAACTTTGCACCGCTGGATTTACAAACCGCTTACTGTGTTTGGTTTGCCACATACGAACTGAGTTTGAACAGCGTTTCGTCCTAGAGTAATCTGCGATCTTTCCGCTCTTACATCGCGATTCACCACCGGTTCCGTTCTTGTTCAGTGGCTCTTCGGTTACTGATAGCTGGAACTGGGACTCGACGATTGCCGTCCCATACCTTAACCACCGTTCCAACAGTCAGTGTTTGTCGCAGCGCTTAAGGTACCCATTTTCGTATGGGATAACGGTCCCAAATGCTCAATGAGACCTACTCCGTCAACCACTTGAAAACCTTACGCATTATTGCCTTAAATCCGTGCTTCATCGATCACGGTCATAAAGTCAGAAACGCCTTCAAACGAATTACGGATAAATGTCTTGGAAATAACGAAAGCATCTTGCTGGCTGGCAATCTGGCCTCGGTCGTTGTTCTGTCGACAATGCACAAGTCCCAGTGATACTTTTCAGTAATGTTCGCTCGCTTCTTGGTAAAATCCGTGATATCAGTGCCATTATGCAGCGAAATGAATATATAAATACAGGAATCATTCTGTTAAAAGAAAGTTGGTTGCATACTGCTATGGAAAATGGGGTACTTGAACTCGACGGTTATTTTCCTATCAGTTCTGACCGCCCCGAAATGCCCCAGTTTCGTGGTAGTGGCTTCATAAGTTACGTTAACGTTGGTGCAACTCAGCAGGCGTAACATTCACATACTCAACGGTTTCTGTAAGCTGCCATTTAGTTGCATTCAAACCAAAGTTCTTAAGTGGCTTTCAATCAGCCATCGCTGGAAACGTATACATTACTCCTGACACATCGGCGTCAGAGTTAAAGCTTTTTGAAGATCAATTTTCTTCAACGCTGCTGCTTAAATTAGATTGTTCTATTTATATTGTTGCTGGCGATTTCATTAGAAAGGACGCAACATTCTTGAGGACACTTGGCTTGGTAGACCTAGGGACTGTTTCAACCAGACAAGATGCCTAGTTGGACGCTGTGTACACAAATAGACGACCGTTGTTTTCCATACCAAAACAGACTCATTTGAGCAGCTCAGATCATTATACTTTAAATCTGTGTCCAGTCATTTACAGCAGGTTTAATATTTTAACACTGACCAAACGTCCTCACAAGATTTTCAAACGGGAATTTGCTCCTTGGAAGATATCACGAGGTTCCAGACGATGTTTCCTTTAACTGATTTTTTGGTCTTCATCGACGAGGACCTGTCGCTCGAATGTAACCATCTTGCGCACTACGTCAAATATTTCTTTGACATGTGTTACCCTGTTGAAACGATCCATCTAAGAGCAGATAGATTTTCCTCACCACTACTAAATCGACTTCGAAGGATGAACGAATGTGCCTACTAGTGCACGAATGCTACCCGTGTCAAAAGTCCAACCACGACAATTAAATCCGAGATAAAAATACTAAACCAATTATACATCGAAGCAGTTCTTGGCAACCAAAACTCGCGATTTATTGGGGCTTCTGAGGCAGCTCTGTGGTAAAAGCGTTTGCAGCCGGAGAGGTGAAGTGGTTGATAAACTGAATTCGAAGTTCAGTTCCGCCTCCCTAAGCTCATCTTCCTTGCCCTTCTTCCTTAGTTCAAGTCCAGCCACGCTCTTCGATCAAAGCAACGTCCACAAGGAACTCGAAAGATTGAGGGCAAACGAAGCTTGTTATGCGGATGCTCTCTCACCATTACCTTTGCAGGAATGTGCTGATTCTCTCACAGTGCCTTTAACAGATCTCTTTGACAAATGTCTCTTACTACTGGTGTGATCCCGGACATTTGGAAAACGGCCAGTATCGCTCCAGTACCAAAAACTGGATCTCAAAAGTATCGCTCAATTGCATGTACATCTCTGCTCCTAAAAGTTTTCGAATGATTGTTAATTTCGCGGATTTTTTCAACCGCTCCTGAAGACGATATCTGCAAGTTTGCGTACAGACTCCAGCGCTCCACATTGGATGCACTAGCATATCTTGTTCATTCTATAGCCCCTGCATTAGATCAACAATGTAAATCCTTACGACTTCTCTTCCTGGCTTAATCGAATGTCTTCGGAAGCCTGGATTGGTCAAGGTTGCTAAACCTGCTATCCGAAAATGGAGTTCATCCTGGTGTGTGTAGTCTCTTACGTGACTATTTTACAGATCGTACTCACTTCACCAAGTTGAACAGTAAGAGATCCTCTGTCCTCCCTGCCGACTGTGGTGTTTTACAGGGCGCGATCCCATCACCTTTGCTATTTTCCTTGTGAGTTGAACATCTCCCTATACAAACCACGTTTATAGAATGTAACTATGCTGTTGATGTCCCCCACTAACTAGCATTCCTCTTCACTTCAACGTGAGATTGGAACACCTGGTGAAATGGTCTCCATCCAGATCGCTTACGCTTAATGCTTCTAAATGCAGTTATGTAATATTTTCTTTTCTACTTGACGATAAGTTGCGGCCCCTCAAAGGTTTCTCCCGTACACTTACAGTGAATAAAAATCCCATACCCAGCTCTCTCACCGTCAAGTATCTCGGCATTTTTTGTCCCAGAAACTTTCTTGGTTCACGCATGTCTGTAAAACTTTCCAAAAAAGTCAGCAAACTTTCTTTTTATGCCCTCAGACTTAAGGTGCTTTCAATACCTCGTATTTTAATATTCAGGTTTATGTCCTTTTGTATTTTTCCCCATTGGCTATACTGCTCTCCTGTCATTTTCCATGGACTGCTTCAGAAAGAGTACGTCTTATTGGTGCGATCTATAAATCACATTTCTAGGTGCAGCGGCTTGTCTCGAGATTTTGTTGATTTGATTATTTCTAGACATCTTGATGCCTACAATGATTTTTCTTCTAATGTACTAACTGGTCGAGTTCATCTACTTCACAATGATCTTTCCAAAATACTTTCTCTTCTACTCGTTGGAAATTCAGAATTTTATTTTCCCGCACGTCATCGTATCGTAATACTGTTTTGCCTTATCTCTCACGTTTGCTTGTTGACCCAGCGCATCACTGGCATGCTGCGCGGGCGGTTGTTGAAGTAACAGTTGTGTCTTTTTCCCATTTTCTCCCCAGGCTTATATATTGTTATTCTCATCCAGGTGTTCACAGTGGTGGTGGCAATGCTGAGAATAAACCCATTAGGGTTATTCATAAAGCTTATTTTGACTTCACTTGATGTGATATATGGGTCACATCGCTGAGTAGTGGCTCAGCTTCCTTCTCCTCCCTTTTCCACTAGCTTATCAGTGGTTACTCTTTCAATTCTTAAATAATCCGGACCCAGCTACTGAATCAGAATTCTTTATAATTAGTGTGGATCAGCACAACTCCTTCGTTAATCTGGTCGACTATACTACTTCTTGTTGCGGCACTGTTGTCATTAACTCTGAATTATCGCCCTCCTGCCAATCCCAACGGGACACAAAACCTCCGACTCTTTATGAGTACAATAAGCTTTTCGTGACCAAGGCAACATATTGGTAGCCTCTGAGATTGCGTCATTTTCAGTCACACAGACCTGAACATGTCTTTTGGCTATGCAACGGCCTATTCGTGCTCGAATTTTTAGCCCATCTGGCCGATTGATATTGCAGCTGTTGTCATCGACATGACCCACTTAGAACTGTTATTGATAAGTCGGAACGAAATAATTGACCCATGTGTGCTTTGTCATGCTTATCACTTTTGTTCTAGTCTCCCTGTTTAACACTACATGGTTTTATTAGGATATTCCCCCACAGCAAAGATTTTCATCTTTCGCCCATTTTTCTAAATTATTGGTGAAGCTACATTTACTACATCGAAGTATTCGTTTCCTCCTTATTGCTTTCCTAGCGGCTGTGTGCATTTTGCTTCTTGGTCTCCCTTTTATTGTGACTCAGGATTCGTCGTGCCTTTAAACTGCGTGCTACTTCCGATCAGTCTAACAGCATTGTACTCTTCCTTGAAAGTACCTTAGCAACGTGGACCATTTCTGGCTCTTGGCTTTCGCTTTTGACCTTGGCACCATCTTTTTACCGACTCACTGCTTTTTATTCACCGATTTTCTCTCCATTCGTCATTTTAACCACCGTTGTCGGTTACCATTGTTAGGCTGCTGTGGAATTTGCATTTGGATACATCACAATACACCATTTTTCAATTAATTTGAGTACTCGACAGCTTTAGATAGTAGACAGTGAGACTTAACTCATCCCAAGTACATTGCAGTATATTGTTCTCAGTTCAATAACTAGCACTCCACACTACCTCATTCCATCAATGTTTCGTTGCAGTACCAAGAAGAATACATCCTTTTTACAGTTTTGTTTAATCAATACATTGCTGTTGAGAAGTACACTTTCGACCGCAATGGCTTAGACATTCCCCGCAGTCAAACCTAAATTGCTTGTCGAAACCAGACCGCTGATTTCTCAGTGCATGAAAGTTAAACTCCCGTCCGGTCCGAATCATTCATCCTGCAACTATTCACTTGCATCTGTGGTGTACGCTACGTCGGACGTACAAACAGGTGCTTGTTTGAAAATTCGCCGTACACTGCCCCGCATCACTACGAAAATGTGTCATAACGAACACTGATTGCACTATTCTTAAGTATTTTTTGAAGAGCAACACCAGATCCAAGCAAACGATTCATTCAAAGTTACTTATGCCATTCAGATACAATGCTCCGAAGGGCTTAAGAAACGCTTGCTAACCACAACTGAGGCCATGGCAATCATGGCTTGGAAACCAGAGCTATGCGCAAACAACCAATGCTGTTGCAAGCCTTGATCTTGATTTTGCTATGAACCCGCTCCGGCGAGAATACATAGCATTTAACCTGATAGGCGACCAGCGTTTGTCACTGCTGATATACCTGCCCTCTCCTGTGTGTGTTTTGTCCGACCGGCCTAATCCAACTGGCTCAGACATAGATCGATGGTGTGGTGTGCTTAGCCAATATGTTGTCTAGATTTCGTGGTTTCTTCTAGTTTAAACCTAGCTTTCTTCGACCAATCGCTTTTTTCAACTCTGCTTTCTACTAAATGCCTGATGAGATTTATCAAAATGAATGTTCCTTGCGCGATTGTAAACTTCTACTCTGATTTTCTCTGCTGCGCGTTAACGCCTGCCTGTCCTATTGCCCTCCCGGCTATACGATCCATTCCTCCGGACGTTTGTCTTTTGAAGTGTACTACTTTAAATTAGTCAGTAACATGGAAATATTTCTTTTTTATTCATATACTGAATTCCCTCTCCCCTATTCGCACCGCCATCGCTTATTCCGTTTAAACTTTTGCTACAGCTGCCGACAACGTCACAATGTGGTCAACCCATCCGCTCTTTGGCCACCTTATCGAACACCCAAACCTTTACCTACAACATTTCTCGGATTGGATCACATTCTGCACAGCCGCCATCTGCATTTTCTTCTCTTCATTCAACTCAGCTTGGTATGCCACGATGTGCATTTAGCGTATTTTGTGTTGTTGTCAATCTCCTTTCATCCTTATTTCTCCTGCCGTCCGTTGGCAGTGATCACGTGCCTACCTGGCCCGCGCCCGGAAATAACGGTTTCATCACCCACAACTAGCCGTTGTGCTTTTAGTTTGCTTCTCAAATGAACACATTTGTGTCCGGTTAGATTGAAGCTCTTGTGAGTTCCTAGCAGGTTCTATCTTTGCTCGAGGGCAACCGGGAAGCTCTTTGACCACCCAACACATAAATCCACATAACCCTTCCTGTTTTCCCCCTTGTTGTTGTTGTTGTGGCACTCTGCCGATTGTAAATTGGTTTATCGTTGGCAATGTGACACGGGTATTTCATGGAATCAACTGAGCATCTCAGAGAACGTATGGTTTGAGTTATCAATACTATTTTGTGCATCCTTCCCACAATCAGAAACAAAATCACGTGCGCTCGATTTATGCACCCAGCGGAAGTCACCATCGATTAATGGCAACTGCCGCCGTACATTTATGGATGTTTGCCTTATAGTCCCAGGTAGCCTGATGATCTCCCATAATACCCACTGTGAAACTGGACCTCTTCATTCCCTCTGTTCAGCTGTGACCGTCTCCGTTTTTTCACGCAGACACTTAGAAGTACGACGCTTACTTCTCTGCTTTGCCAGCTTTACCAAAATGCGCATTTGTTTGCATATTGAATCATTAACTACATTGTCCTCGAGATTCTTACTTTGCACACCAACAAAATCTTGGCTTTATGCCCAACCAGAGTTCCACTGTATCGCGCGTTTCTTACAGTCACTTTCTTGATACCATCCTAAATGTTTGGTACCTCAGTGACGCTCCATTGAGGGTTCTGATGCTCTTCGCTACATCCGTTAAGTCGCAGGATGTCGATTCTTCCCTAAACCATTTCCAGCCTTGTTATGGCTCAAAGCACATAGACTGCATGGAACAGGAATCATTAAAATATCGGTCCACGATGTCAGTTCATCCAGATCACCGACTATACTCGAATTTGCTTTATAACGGGTAGGGAGTACTAGGCGTGGTGATACAATTCACATTTGACACTACATGTCGTATTGTAGATCACCTCACACTGAACACTAGCGTGCGACCGCTGATGGTTGTTGCATGTCACACCGTACTCTTTAGTTATCGGTGACTTCACGTCGTCAGAAAATCTATGTGTGGGATGATGTACAACACCCATTCATCCATGTACCCTACTGGGTTTCCGTTTGCCTCATACCGTTTGTCGACTCCCTCGATGCGTGTGTCTTATAAAACGCCGCTTACTAACACCCCGGTAATTCGTACATGTATCATTTTTAAAGCCTTCATGCATCAACCCTACCTTTTCATCAAGCACTACCAGTTATCCCGACCGAAAACACACCCGCTTGACTAAATACACTAAAGACTCCATCTGTCCCTTCATCACTGTGATCACTTTCTATACCACAGATTTGTGGCCTTTCATTCTCAACCCTACCAAATATTTTCAGCAACCCCACTAACACACATACCATTTTCTCTGCTCCTGATAAATGCGAGATCTATTAACAATCAACTTCATTTTACAGATGAATAGGAGGATTTTAATTGTAATGTTTTCGTCCCAGCTGCTCACAAGCTACATAGCACAGCCTATTCCGGAAAAGCACCAGGCGCGTTTCGCCCTTTTCTTTCATTTTCTTAATTTTATTGCACAGTTAAGCATTCCTAGTGCAACCTTCTTCACTGAAACATAGGTTAGTTTTTAGTTTTTGAGCATTGTATGGAATGATTATACGGCTTACGCTGCTCATTCTCTCAGTTATTTAGTGTGATGTGAAGAAGGTTTGGTGACCTATGGCATAGAACAAACCTCACTTTAGAAGTGGTGCGTTGTATTGATTCTGCTATTGTGAGCTTATCTTGTCGGAGCCATCCGGTCACCGTACTGGTTAGGTCCTTGGTAACAGGACTCCTTAAATTAAAACTAACCTATTAAACACGAGTGAACAAAGAACACTGACACACTTCAGGAAAGACAAGTGCCACTTTTGATTACCGACAGACAAGAGACTTCCTACAGCTCTACAGGATAGAAATGACTGTATGAGGAAGTCACGAGAATTACTCGAGGATGGTAGCATCTACCAACCAATCAGCGGCGATCCTACGAAGCGCATCCTTCAAAAACTGGAACAGATATGACAGATTAGGTGAGTGGAACGCATCAAGATGAGGCCTGATGACAGTGCTACCATAAGTTTGTGGTCTGCCCGAAATACACATGAAGGAAACCGCTTCGTCCTGTCATGTCAATACGCGTGACTATGGAAACGCCTGAGACACCTGATCATAAGCTCATAACATGCTATCCAATCAGCGGGACAATTCATTGCAAGTTCAAAAGAGGAGCTGTAATAGCTTCCTTTGCTTCTTCGGCTTTTTTCACATCAATTGACAACAATCTGGCCAAAGGACACGGAGCGACAACAATCACCCACGTGATGGTAGTCCGCTAATTAATTTATTTACTTGCTTTTTGTCTTATCAAACATTTCCCTTTCAATGGCCCCACTTACAGACTGGCAAAAGACAGATCAATGGGATCTCCAGTCTCTGGACTGGCAGCTTAGGCAGTGATGCGGTTGCTAGGACGAATACAACTATCGATAGTAGATCCCACATTTTGGATACATTGCGCGAAAGATATATTTATCATCCTCATACGGTCTAAGCCGCAAGAGATGTCATTAACAAGTTAGCAAAAATGAGGAGAACAACTGCCAGTTGCTATTGATAGGGTCTTTCCGTGATAACACATGCTGTTGGACCATTGAAAGCAGTCACTTATTGGGGGGTGACGCACATCAGTCATCTGGGAAGTCGCAACCGCAGCTGCGTGCGAACTCTTTCCAAACGGACATCCCAAACGCATTGCGGCACGTTGCAGAATCAAACCACCCTAGCTAACATGCTTTTAGCAGAATTCATACCCTAGAATTTTCATTTTATGCTCTGTGTGATGGAGGATACCATCGAAACTTACGAATTTAACCCTGCAGGAGGTCAATACACAATCATACAGTGCTCCTCGAGAGGCTGAAAGTGTTCGGTGTTGGCAGCTCACTACATCGATGGATCAAGAATTTCCTTGTTGATCGAAAGTGGCAGATCCAGATGGACAACCATTTGACCGACTGGTATCCATCGAGCAGTGGTGTGCCCCAAGGCACTGTACTGGGGTCTGATTTTGTTTCTGATCCATGTAAACGATGTGCCTCAGCTACTCCATTCACCTTGTGTGCTGTTCGCAGATGACGTAAAGGTGTGGAGAGTAATCCGCACACCCAATGATTGGGACCTGCTTCAGCAGGACCTCGACCGCCTCTCAACGTGGTCTGCAGAGGTCAACCTTCCGATCAACCCGGTTAAGTCGCTGTTCATTAGGCTGGGTAAGTGTGAGCACAGTCGAATCTACCCGGTGGCCGGTCAACCGCTACATCCCGCGCCTTTTGTCCGCGACCTCGGTATACTCTCATGCTACGACCTAAAGTACATGGACAACACGAATAGGCTGTACCAAAACAGCCTTCGTATGCTTTGGGCGCTCAGGCGCAGCTTCAGCACTTGGTCCGAAGGGATTGCCCCTCGCTTCTTCGTCTCAATAATACGACCAATGCTAGAGTATGGCTCTCCCGCGTATTGTCTTATCACCCGGGGCGAGGCAGAAAAGATTGAGCGAGTGCAGCATGTAGCCACCAGGCTGATTCCCAACTTACTAGGTGTGCCGTACGAAGACGGATGTAAGAAACTAGGGCTGTACACCCTAACTTATCGTCGACTGCGAGTTAACCTCATCATGACGCACCGGATATTACGTCTGGGAGATTACCCCATGTTGAGGCCGCTGCTTCATCTACACACACCAATCAGCACACGAGGACACCGGTACGAGCTTATCGTACCGGATTTGAAGCGGGTCGCTCACCAACTCTGTTTCGAACTCAGAGTGGTGGATGTATGGAACGACCTGCCTCAGCACGTTGTTAAAGTGGATGTCGGAATTTAACAAATTCCTGAACAAACACTTTGCCGGTATAAAATACATCAAGCGCACCACAACCTAATGAGTCTTTATCCCTGAGTGAAATTAGATGCAGCTGCACAGAGAAACCTCTACTTGCTGTTTCTAACCAGTAATCACAATGAAATTCACCAGGCAATTTGATTTTACCGCCGTGGGCGTTTCTGGCGGTACTTTTAATCCGACGATGTCCTGGTACTTTTGACACGATCGTTATATCGGATGATCGCACATCGTTCGTTTTGACAGTTAAAGTGACCAAAACACGGACATTTCTGTGAACGTAGGTTCAGCACGTAACTTTCATTCGTTTGTCTGCTTTTATACACTTGCTGATGTCGAAAATGAGTAGCAAATAATAACTTCTTATTCACCTTTTGCGACGTGCACAGCCTTGCGTTTACTCCTTTATTAATTGCTATAATTTTGAGGAATTTTAATTTCAACCTGGATTCTTCCAATCGAGTATTGGACTTCAGATACTTATTCAAGAGCTTCAATGAATCACAGGCAATGCTAGGCTTCAGCAAAGCAAAGATTCCCATTTCATTAATATGAATCAATATCAGATATCAGTTCGAGGTGAAGAATTCTTTTCGGTAAACTCTCATCAGACCCAAACGTTTACATAGCACTGATTGTGGGGAAAGCGTCAACTCGGGCTGCGATTGATTTCTGGGCTGTTTGAACGATCAAAATCGATAACTTGAGACAGGGATACGGATGGTGCTGCTGTTGAGAAAACTTATTTCGCGGCTCGCCTGCGAATCCTTTTTCACAACAATCCGTTGCTTACAAAACCCTTGAAGGATAGACTGCCGTCGTTGACCCGTTCACTGGTCGTTTATCAGTTCTCGTGCTCCTTTGGTGCACGATATGTGGGTCGCGCTACGAGGCGCCTATCTCAGAGGATTGGTGAGCACATCCCGACATGGTTTTACAAAGGCGAAATGAGGTCCTCAGACAGCTCCAACATGTCGTACCTCCTTGAATGTGGCCATACAGCTTCAGAGAATGACTTCAAAGTCATCTACTCACTATCTGAACACTTGTCCCAAGAATTCCGCAATCAGCTCTTATCCATCGCCGAGGCTATCTACATCCACCATCTGAATTATGTGGAATTATGTTTGCAAAAACGATTCATACGGCCGATACTACTACCTTGGCCGACTGACACTGTTACTTAGTTATTTGGTTGTTATCTTACCTGCTTAGTTACTTCGGACTACTGAGCTTCGTGTATGCGTGTTTAGTTAGTTCACTTGGTTTACCATCTGTATCCCTGTCTCGGGTTATCGATTTTGATCGTTCAAACAGCCCAGAAATCAATCGCACATCGAGTTGACGCTTTCCCACAATCAGTGCTATCTAAACCTTTGGGTCTGATGAGAGTTCACCGAAGGGAATTCTTCACCCCGCACTGATATCTGATATTGATTCATATTAATGAAATCTGAATATTTGCTTCGCATTGCCCGTGATTTATATGGAATATCGCAGTGTGATGTAGTTACTTTATTGCATAAACCTGGCTCAATCAGTTAGATCGACTGTGCTCCTCGTCGCCGGCTTATTCCGTTTTAAATCACTCTGCTACGTACGTCGTTTGTTTCATTGGTGAGCCACATTTAGGCAGCTTGCGTGTGAACTTTATCCATCATGCTTCGTTTATCTGTCGTTCAATTCCACATGTTCCTTTCTCTTGTCATTGTTCCCTTACTGAATGTGCAAGTATGTTCTTCGTTAATTTGTAGTTTTACCACATTCATTCTAGTATGTCTACGGGGATCCGCTTGTCACCGAAGAGAGTTTGGGTATCATCATTCACCTGTTAGATCGCGCACTAGATATGCCTTGCCGCACGCAATCTCGGCGAAACAAATGTTGTGAGGTGAGTTGCTTACAAGCTCACTCTCTTTTTGGTTCCCTTCACTTGTTACCTATCACTCTACGGACGTTGGGTTGATTTAACTGACTACGTTTAGCATGCTCCAACCCTTTTGTACCATTCCCTATGCACTTTGTAGGCTTCGGCTGCAAGATCAGGTCCGACCCCGATGCAAGTGGACTTCACTCATGCGTACACAGGTGGAGCGGAAGACGAGCTGATGGAGTTTGCGGATGGTTCTGATGAGGACAGTTTGTCTGACGACGTCCTCGTGGTTGAGAAGATATTTCCAGCGCAAGAGCGCCGTGACAATTCCACCGGCGTGAAATCATTCGTGAACCTAATTGGAGGAAGATTGCGCAGTTCAAGTCAGCGGTCAGACTCCGACCCATGGTTGTCTGACTCAACAAAGAGCTCTCATATGCCACGTTGGGACGCTAGCCTCGTCAAGTGTCCGTACCGGCCACAGACTAATCTGCACGATAACCTAGGCTGTTGGCTACGCGTGGATGGTTCACCCACTCCATGCATCTCACTCGCTCCGACCGTCCTTGTGCGGACCGATGAGGTAGCTACCTCACCTCATATGCTCAACGTTATACCCGCATGGTCTGCATCCGAACAGGCGGACCATAAATCTGAGTAAATTTGCGCTTCTAAATTGATTTTGTTGTTTTACTCTGAATCTGGTGTAGTATCCTAGACATTTCACACTGGGGTCTAGTTGAGGCCGAAATTTCTTCCGTATGCACAGCAAACTCGTGTGCTCTCGAGTGCTTGAGTTGCATGTTTGTTGTTTATGCTGTGTAACAATGATAGGAGTGAGGGATTCGTTTCGCCAATACTGCATTATTTTCATCTATGGCCATCCGTTTTTATTCGCTCTTATTCTGGGTATTTAGATCCTACCGGTGCAATCTGACAGCGAATCCCCTCCGTTACTGCTACTGTCAATGTTTGCTTGTGTCGGTGTGAGTAGTTATACGCCTGCATCGGGAGTTTTGCTACATTTCGCTAACTTACTTGCTCCCGCTCTTAACCGCATCGTTTTGCCACCGGCCCTCACATATGTGCATCCGGAAACACATGGTATGAGCTAGCTTGAATTTACTTGTGTGTTCGATGGATCCATTCAAGATTGGCCAGCTGTGTTGATCACCATCACAACTACCTGTGATGTTTGCCACCCTCATTTATGTTTCATTGGTGCAATGCCATCTACAATGATCCATGCATCTCACTCACCGTCACCATGAACACTGACAAATCGACTGCAGCCACTTTTATCGACTTCCCTCGTTGAAGCTGATTGGCTAATCTCATATCAGACACTACTGCCTGGCCAATGCTATTTTACCACGATGGCAGTTTTCTAGGCTATCTGTGAAAATACTTTTGACCATCACTATTTTTGCCCAGCGACTATTTTTTGTCTTGGCAAAATTCGTTCCTGTTGGAGGTTATTCGATTTCTTTTTCGAGGGCTTTGGGCTTGGATACTAATAGTACTATAACGCTGTACCCGCAATCGACCGGTTGATTCACGTCTACTGATAAATCTGCTCCCTTACACCTGCTCTGTTTGACGCCTTGGCAAACCCGACAGGAAGGAAGACAGAAGAATACACAGCCGACCAGAGTTGCATTAGGAGCGAGAACGATCATAGTTATATGTCGGTCTCACCAATCCTCTAAACCTCGCCTGACGGATTTGGCTCTAAGCCAACCCTCCTCACTTCATTGTCCGCTCCGTCTGGCCAATTCACTGTCTTGCTCGGGCACACCAGTCCTCATGCGTCTACCCGGGTCATGGCAACGCACGTGATCTCTGACACGCGATTTCATCAGCTTCTGGTCAGACCTTGGCAACACGCATGCTGTCTGCTGCGCTATTTCATCGGCTTTCGGCTGGCCCCTGGCAACATGCTTGCAGGGTCTTTCCCAACCACGATTTGTGGCGAACACGCGCGCGTTGGCAATCCGCCATCTCACCCAGCTATCACCTCCCTTTCCAAATTAAGTCAGTTTGCAAACCTTTCGAAATTGATTGTGTCCGTAGCTTTTCGCCCTGGGATAGATTTGCAGCTGTTGTGGTCTCCGCTTCCGAGCCGGCCTGCATTGTGCATCTGCTGTTTGCGGCATTTGTTTTGTCTCACCGGGTTGCTCACCCTCAACTTCCAGTCTGAACGTGTCTACTACTATGTCCCAATGTGAAGCTGGTGCTTCATGGGGACCTTGGGTTTTGCCATGGTTCAGTCTCAACTGACTGTTGTGCCTAATCCACGTCCCACGTCTAACAATCACCTCGTACCTAACTCTGCCCTTCCTGCAAATAAGTTGCGCTTGACCACCCTTTCGGTCTTCGAAAATCCCGGGCCTAAACCATTTTACCAACATTGAAGTTATGGAGCCTGACTTTGCAATCTTCCTCCAGGTGACTACTGCCTTGCTTTTCTATTCTCCTTAGTAAAAGGTTTTCGAACAACGTCCGGATCTTTCTTCCTGTCCGCTTGATTGCGGATGATATAGTGGTGAGTACCTCTACTGAATTTCCTTTTCCTTGCACCAGTCGCGGAAAGAAGTTGAGGTGAATTGTGTTCCATTGTCTGTCACTAACATCTCTGGCACGCCGAATTATCGGAACAGCTTCTCCAGCTCGTTGACATTGTGCTGGGCAGTCGGATTGTTTACCGGAATCACATCTGGCCACTTGGTGAATGGGTCGACCAAAACGAGATAGAATTGGCCATTGGTTGATCCTGCATAGTCTAAGTGTATTCGTTGTCACGGTTCCTCTTCTTTAGGCCATGGTTGCCACTGACGTTTGGGAGGGACCTTCGTTGCAAGTTGACAAGATGCACTCTGTGGGCAAAATTTTTCAATATCCGAATCCATTTCTGTCCAGTAAACAAAACTGCGTGGCATGACTTTCATGCGGCTGGTACCAGGGTGCCCCGTGTGGAACTGCTGCAATATTTGCCTCTGCTATTTCGTTGGCGCCACCACTCGATCTCCAAACATCAGACAATTGTCTACGACTGACAGGGATCTACGTCGATTGCATAACGGCCGCAACTCCATAGGTATGCCTCCATTTGGCTAACATGTTCATACGCACTGCATCGCTTTCTCCAAGATTCTGTCCCCTGATGTCTCAATACGAATGGAGTCGGTGGTTCCTGGCAGTCTTCTCACATTCTCAGCCAGGATTCGTTGTACTTCTGATTCGAAACTGACAGCTGTAATCACACAATCATCATTCTCCTTTTGGGTGTGGATCGATTAGACGAGACAGGGCATCCGATTACCGATTAATTGCGCAGGTTTACAGTGTATACTGAAGTCGTAGGCCAGTAGTATGGTCGCCCATCGTCTCAATCGGTTTGCCGTAAAACTGTAATTCCTTTCTTTGACCCGAATATCGACAGGAATGGCTTATGGTCAGTCACGAGCGTGAAAATCCGTCATACATCATCTTATGAAACCGGTTCATTGCGTAAACGATCGCGAGCGCTTCCTTCTCTATCTGGCTATAGTTATTTTCAGCTGCCGTTAGTGACGGTGCTGCGTGCGCGATAGTGTTCTCTCCTCCATGCGGAAAAACGTGGGAGTTAACTGTACAGATACAATAATTGGAAGCATTCGTAACAACGACAATTTTGAAATTCGGGTTGAAGGGAGTCAAGAGTAGATCAGAAGTGTGAACTGCTTTGACTGCTTCAAAAGACTACTGGCACTCCTTCGTCCATTTCCAACTCTTGTCTTTTGTCAGTAGCTGGTTCAGCTGACCTCTTGTTTGGTGATGGCTTGGTAGGAAAGCGCTGTAATGGCCAACGAGCTGAGGTCTGCAATGTGTTCTGGGGGCTTCACCTTTTGGATAACTTCATTATTGGCGAGATCCGGGCGCCGGCCATGTTTATTGATGATAAACCCAAGAAATTTGACACTTTCTATTGGGAACTCACATTTTTCAGCCCGTAATCGGAATCGGAGACACGAAAGAACTCTCACCAGTGTCTTTATCAAGTCTTTAGCTTCTGAGCCTATACTCAATGCATCGTCCAGGTATACTGCGGTATTTGGGATACCGCTCAGCAGGGTATCCATTATTTGTTAAAAAGTGGCCGCTGCGGTTTTCATTGTGAACGGCAGCCGGTTTTACTGAAAAGGTCCGAGGTGGGTATTTACTGTCAATAATGTTCTGCACTGATGGGCAACTGGGATTTGCAGATTCGCGTCAGCTAGATCAAGTTTTGGAAACATTTCCCCCATTAGTTTGCTGAACAAGTCTTCTGGTACCTGCAGGGGATACTGATGATCTTCCAACACAGAATTCAAACCTGTCGAGAAATCAGCACAATTACAGACTTTATCCTTACCTTTCTTTACCACCACGATAGGTGTTGCCCATTCTGAATGGTGAACTCGTTCGATTATCCCTTCAGATTGTAATCGGTTTAATTCGGCTTCCACTAAGGATTGGATTGCGTAGGGTACCGGGCGTCTTGGTCTGCAGACTGCCTTGGCATCTGGTTTAAGGTTCAATGCGGCAGTGGCTATGTTGCAGCATCTGAGACCAGGTTGGAACAATGCATCATGATGTCGTTTTATCTCGGTTATCTGACTGAAACCTCGGGCTTGAAGTCGACTGTTGCGACAGCAGGTTGCCTTGCGGTGGCTGACATATACAGTTCACTGATTGATCAAGCAGTTTTAATTCATCCATCCAGTCAAGCCCCAAGCTGGTCTGTCACGAAACATGTCGTCCGGATTTGTTTATCGTGGACATTTACCTGATAATTCAGTTCACAAAGCAATTTTAACGTACCTTCTGAAGCGTTTCGTGCCATGTGGCCCGTTTGTATTAGTGTCGGTCGCCCCAGCATGCATCAAGTGTCGCAAGATATCAAGATATCTGAAGCCCTGTCGATTTGTAACTTGACTTGGAAGCCGTTGATTTTCACAATTGTTTATTTGCGCTTGCTGCCCCCGTCAACCTTAAAAGTGGCGGTGATGGATCTGGTCAAATTGGGACGCCGGAACGATCTGGCATTGTTACACATCTTCTTGATCAAAGTTGGACGGGTAGACATGCAACATGACTCCTTATGCCCTTTCCTGCCGCAGCGGTTGCAAGTGTGAGTTTTGAATGGGCACTCGCGGGCAAAATGCCACTCTCTACAAAACCAACATGCAATGGGAGGTTTAGAATGCGGTGAACTCACGTGAGGAGCTTCTTTTTGCGGGGTACGGCGAACTGCACAGACAAAATTTTGATCGTTCTGATTGGACAACTGCTGAATCATTGCAGTATTGTGCTCCAGGTTCGTCATGCGTTGAGACTCACCGGTCACTTGCTGCAGTGTAACATCCGGATTCTGTTCCGTTTTGTTCACTATTCATGTTCGAATGTCGGCGTCTTTAGATGCTTGTAGGCCACAAACGATCGACTGCTTTGGACGGGGCCCCTCCAGCGATAACTGATGGTGATGTGATCGACTTGCGTCCATCGTTGCTTCGAGACTGGTAGGCGCCATGTCACTTTCCAGGAGGTGTTCTCAAGAAATAAGCGAGCATATTCACAAAAATGAAGTAACCACTCACCGTTATCATTACGCGAGCCTACACCATGTTGGCCATCCAGATGCAGCTCATCAGTGAACGATTTCGCAACTTCAGCGTTCAGATCCCCAGCCAGCATCACAGTTTCCGAGCTTCTTCTGTGGCGAAGGAGGTCGTTCAGTTGGTGATAGAAGTCGTCTTTTACCGAGTCATCGATACTGTTTGTGGGGACGAACGCAGTGATGATAAACAGATATCTGTTAGCCTTGCGCGACTTCGAAGCTTTGAACGAGCCAGCTAATCGGACCGCACATATCCGGACACTGAGTGGGATCCCACCAACCAGAGCGGCTTCATCCCCAGGAGTCTGGGCAATACCAACACCGGCTTGGCCGTTATTCGAAGCTACATCGTCTCCGGATAAACGCAATGAGAAAGCATTGCCAGTGTCACCTGAAAGGATCGCAGAGTAAGCCCGGAGCTCGAATCTTGCAGGTGGATTTCCGATAAGCAGCAAATATCGATCGATAGGATCTCGAGTTTTCGGGCAAGTGCTGCCTGCTGACCGATCTGTGACAATGTGTGTACGTTGAGGTATGCGAATCTGAGGGGGGATCTATGGATCCAAATACAGGGTGTTTTATTTATTGCTTCCGAAACTACTGGCCGCTGCGCTCACATGCTGACGTATCACGGCAGGCTGAATTGCCAACCTTCCCAATGGCGCGAATTGCTTTTCCGAAAATGTCGGCAGGGGTGTGATTGGACGCAGAGGCGGGAATTTTATGTCTACGATCGCAAGGCACACCAAGTGAACCGTGGCCGTTCAGCTGTGAGAAGTGAATGTTAGCCAAACACTGAAGCCGCACTGGCCGTGTCTTGCTTCGATCGCAAGGCACTCCAAGGGAATCGAGGCCGTCCGGCTGTTAGAAGTGAGTGTTAGCCAAACAGTGAAGCCGCACTGGCCGTGTCATCATTCGATCGATTGGTAGTCGGTTTTCACGAAGGTGTAAAAGCCAGCAAACGAGATTCCCTGCGTGGTGGTTAGTGGCTCGCTGTTCTTGCAATTGAGAAGAACAGCCTGACCCTATGCAATGATCGATGGGCGCCGGTTGCTACTGCAATACATAGCGAAAGACAATGGCGACAAGAGCTGTCATAGCCTCATCACTGGCACTGGCAAACCCGGAAGCTTTCATTAGGCTGTTTTGGTTACTAAGGAGAATCATGCTGCCAAGATCTTTTACTAAGATTACTGTCTTGTTCGTTTTACCGTTTCGATTGCGTGTGTTACAGCTGAAAATTCCACCTTCATGGGTGCATAAAAGCGAATACTTGACTTGACAATGATGTTAGATTTTAGTCTGCCCCTACGCACCAGGGACACTAGTAGACAGCACACCAATTTAGTCATGAATGCAACTATTGCCTGTTGTTCATATTGATCATGCTTTCAATGGTGTTCTCGTATGCAGTTGAGGATACACATTTATTCATTTCTTTATATTTACACGAAATGTCTGTAAATATCAACGAATTAGATGTTCCAAGTGCCCTCCGTCGTTCTTGGCTGCAGAGCAGAATTCGCCGGATGGTGTTGGCATGCACTTTTTGCTACATTGCCGTGGGTTAGTGGTTGCTTAGATATGTGGCGTATCTTCGCCATGCAGACAGAAAACCGCCGCATCGGTGAACACAATGGAATATGCGTTCAAGCTGTTTAAAAACCAATGGGCCAATTCCAGGCGCTTCTGCGAATCGCATGTCTTCCACACTTGCACCTGCAGTGCATTGTACCGTCGGAATTTTTCCCCTTAAATATCCGATGCACAGCGTGCAGTGTGGTTTCGTAATGTTGTGCGAGTTGCCGAATTCGGAGATGGCTCTTACTGCACACCTCTTACACAACTGCGCAAGCTGATACTTCATCCGTGACGGTGCGAAGCCGTCCGGTTTGTTTGATGTTGCAAACGCCACCAGTTCTTCAAACTTCTTCACCACTTGACGCACATACCGCACGTTAATGGGCCGCGGAGCGCAGTGCATAGTGTTATAGCGCTTTGCGGTTTCTGCCGCGTTGGACACACTCACCATACAGCTGCACAATGACCACGTGCTGATGGACCGCCATATTACGTGACTGCGATCGCGGATACATAGACGACACGGGTTTAAGCTCCTGCGCCATTGCTAAAACAGCGAGCCACTAACCACCACGCACGGAATCTCTTTTGCTGGCTTTTACCTCTGCGTGGAAGCCGACTACCAATCGACCGAATCATGGCACGTCCATTGCGGCTTCGGTGTTTGGCTAACAATCACTTCTCACAGCCGAACGGCCTCGGTTCCCTTTGTGGGTCCTGCGATCCTAAACTCACAGGTCCGGCCTCTGGGTCCCATCACACGCCTGACAAAGCAATTTGCGCCATTGGGAAGGTTGGCAATTCATCGTATCGTGCTACGTCAGCATGTGAGCGCAGCCGCCAATCGTTTCCGACCTAATTAATAAGACACCTTGTGAACTGGGCTTAACCGCTTTGTTAGACATGGGATTGTTGCTTGGGCAAGAGTGGCGCTCTGCGTTTGTACGTGAGTCGAAACTAGTGGATAAACGCTTATCAAGACATGGTTGGAGGGATAAAAATGGTTGGAACGGCACGATAAGGGTGAACAGGGGTCAAAGGACGAATAAGAAGACGGGAAGGCTTGAGCAGTGGCATCCGAACCCCCTATTCACCCTGCTCGATGCTGTAGTTAGAGCACTGTTGATTAGCATCTGCGGTGGCCAAAGCCTCAAAAAACTGTTAAATATATCATTGTATTGCTTGGGCAGGATACTTTCAGGTTGCCTAGGTCTAGACAGGAGAACGATAAAGGATCTCAACTGAAGCCTTTGGTTCCAAAACCTGATTTCAGTGACAGCGGGTTTGGCGGTGGACTACAAGCAGTCCGTTTTAAGGAATAAGGCGCCACGCTCATTGCAACCCCCAGCGTAGAGGAGCAGGAGACGAAGTTTTTCTGACCTCTAACCTTTGACCAATCTGGTATGAGTGGGTCTGAAGGTGCCAAAAAGCACCGCCTAGCATAGCTCATTGGATGTCTGAGGCACGCAATCCATCGTACCACGGTAACGTCCCGCCTCGTCTACAAAACAAATGAGTTACTTCCCTATGACGGACGTTCCTCGATCCGCCACCTGTGGACGTGCTCGATAGCGTACAGCTCCGCCATAACTGAGAGAGTAATCTATGTAGGTATTGTTGGACGACTGGAGATCTGATCACCCGGTTATTTATCTTCGCAAGCAGCTTTTTCCACAGGGGTTAGCATTTCATTGTTGGGTCTTGGAGTGTTTGCTCTGTGTCTGAATTGCGGCGCACAGTCTCATTTGGTAACACGGTGTAATATGAAGTAAACTTCTGTTGTTGCGATCACAGATCCCATCCAAAGGAAGAATTTTCGTTGCTATTCTCCTCCTACACTGCATTTCCAGACCGGTCTCGTTCTGGTTTGGTTTCGATCAGGCGGAGATGGGCAAAGTTGAGAATCGACCTGGGGACGTGGTGTTGTTTGCCGTGGCACAAGCATTGACTACCTCGTCGCTGAGCTCCACCAAAATAATATCTTTGCCATGTACCTCTATTGGCAGGAACTTTTTTAGCCGTCTTTTCTGTCATATCGTACATAACTGATAGTCTTTTTCTTGAAAGAAATTGCGTTGACTGATGCTTAGAATGTAAAACCTAACAAGTATTCAGTCGCTGGCGCTAAACATATCTCTAAATAACCAACTTCAACCTTTCTGTTCACACTCATTGCAAAGTTTCGTCTTCTCATTCGCGATTTCGTATAATACTGTCAAGAGTGTATCTATTTTTAATGCGGAATACCGCCCTTTGATAGCTATTTAGTCTAAAACGCTACAGTTTCCTTCCTTTGCGGCACTTATTGATCACGAACCGCCACCTTTCTCCTTTTCGCCTTTCATGGTCAATATTCCGCTATACTTCTTCGTCTCTCTGTGTTCCACTTTTTGCCACTCTCTTTGTGCTCATTACATCGGCTTTGTATCTCTGTCATCATACTTGAAATTCCCCTTTATCATGATTCTGTTTTTCCTCTAACTACTCGCTGCTGTTACATCACTTTACTCCTCTTATGGTTTTCCTTAGAGTATTGGTCGATAATCTGTTGTCGTTATTGATCAAAGCGCACGCCCGACTTCATTGGAGTCGCGTTTCTGGCTCATCGGACTCTTTTCCCAAGGTCGTGATCGGTGGTACATGCACTGACCCTAATTCGGTCGTTGCTCAAAACAGCCCGATTGGGCCAACACATACGGACGAACTCGTCGGCTTGGCCCAGACGCCGATGGATATGTTGTCAGCTCTCGCGGACACCATGGATAGAGCTGTTGCGAACAACAGCTCGTCTCCGGAGCCACTGCCACCTCGATGCACGGCTTTTCTTGCGAGCGCGGAGTCTGGACTTGCACTTAACACCAACGAGTTGACGGAGGGTTCTAACAATATGGCTAACGGAGAAAGTGTCCCACTGTCCGCCAATCTAGGAGTTGCGGGGAACCTTACCGCTAATCTGCTGTTGGAACTGCCACCAGAGCTTCGGTACTTTGCTCTTACCCCTCCGGCTTATTCTCTGAAAGATGAAGCGGACACAAACTCGGAGAACGTTCATACGACTACCGCGGTTGCTGGTGGTAGGTGATTCAGATCGGCGCATATGACGCTTTTTTCCGTGTTTAATTTTTCGCAGGACACAATAGTGCTTGTAATTTTTTATTGTATTTGCACCTTAGGTGAAGGCACTCCTTGTCCCAATCTTTCACATGCTTGTTACGACGATGCTGACCGGGCGCTTCTTAGTACAGGAAACCAGTGCACTGCTTTCGGGGACGGCGCTTTCTGGATAGAGCGTTTATTAAACAAAATTGCCGCTCAGTCCCCCAGTCTTGAATCGGCCATTCGTTTGTATTTGGCACGAGCTCGCCGTCCATACGACTCCATCGTTCGTGTAATGTTCCTTCAATCGATGGACTCGATTCCGTCCTTAAACCCCGAGCATAACAAAGAAGAGTTGGCCACTGCCTCGTGTGCGAACTCAAAACTGCACGATTCACCCTCAACGGTACCCTATGATAATGCTGGGTATGTACATCCTCTTTCTTTACCGCATCACATCCTTATCACCCTACTTTGTTTTGTACGGGGTTTTTTTTCTAAATGCTTCTCATTTGAAACCGATCTACATGGAGTTAATGACATCATTCAACACGCGCCTCTGACACTTTTATCCCCCTTACGTGATCCATTTCGATGTGATGTCACCCTTCCCCAATAGTCAGCCTAAGTGTTATAGCGCAATACGAAGATTGCTTGCACTGGTGCTATATTTGCATCCCTGGAATATACGTGAAACCGATCGAGAAGTCACTGTTTCAGTGAGATTTGTGAACCATTGGTCGGTTAATTTAGTTGGAAACGTTTCATTTTTGACACAAACTTTTCTGAAAGTGTATACGCAGCCCACTTAACAACAGATGAGCGAACGCGAACCCCCAGGTGCTGTTCCCACCACCAACCTACTCTGTTGCGACTGTAACTTCGGGTGAGTATTCTTTCCCATCTCTGCATTACACAAGCACAGTCATAGATTTCATTCATCCACAATGAATCTCGAATTAGTTATTGTCGCCTTCTTCACTATTTAAGTACTGTCTTTACACATACTATCGCACTTGGAACACTTCAGGAACTTGTTATGTTCGTCGTAGTGCGAATTGACTATTGGACGCTTCCTATCCGTTTCTATGTTATTGTCAGCGGCCAGTTCTCCTGGCTCTGCCATCTTTCTCTCATAAACTGCCTTCACCTTCTAATCCCCCGTTTATCGTCCTTCTCTTTTCCCATCAAGTTCATGTGCGAACGTTGCAGCTTTGACCACTGCGGCCCCGGGGACGGCGGCTATCACGCGAGAGGAACGCAAGAGAGCTGCAATGGAGCGTCGAAAACGTTTGATGGATCAAATGGCTTCCAAGCAGAAAGCTTTTGCACTTGTTCATTTGAAGGATATGGAGCTTATAAGTGAGTTATTTGGTCAAAGAGTAGCATACGCCCACTCCGTGCATCTTCTTTGTCCTTTCCGGTCGGATCGGTGGATATGTGATTGGCTATCTCCTTTGCATGATCGATGTTGTTTGTGGTTTGGGTACATTCCTTTTCGTCGTTCCCTATCCTATTAAAGTAACTAGTTTTCCACATTAGGCATCTACACACACCGTCAGATGGAATACGATAACAAATTTCTGTCGCCTTACACTGTCTCTAGATATCTAACCACTCTCATTCCACGTGCACTGCTGTTTTCTTGAACAAGCATCTGTAGTATTTCGGTGTGTAGACAAATTAGAATCGCTTCATTTCAATCGCGTTTCTATGCGGATATGATTCTAAACATAGAAAATGAAATCTGAAATGCATTTGTCTAAACTATCCACTGATTTCTCGTTTGCACCATCTCTGATGAACTCGCCAACTTTCGATGCATCCGACCACGTCAGATCGAAAGGCGACAGGCATCATCATGAGCCGGTCTTTGTTTGCTTTCCCTCCCTCTCGAGAAGTCTAATTAGGCGCATGTGAAGAAACGATTCAATAGGGATGCTGTTCTTGTGAACAGGGGATTCGGTATGGGCAACGTCAGAGGTTAGAGACCCCCCGAGTGACATGACGCATTTACGGTGTCAGTTTCTCCCTTGCAACCGATCTCTTGCGACAAACTTCTTGCGCTTCGCCCCGTTTCTCCATTTCCCTTCAGTATTTAATAATTGAAACGCTCATACGTGACTCTATTGTCTCCTTCCTGTTGCCATGTTCTGTTTGGAGGTCGAATGTCGAACCTTGCATCCGCGGATGGCAACTCTCCTTGGTTCGGACGTAGCTACTATGCAATTTTCACTTAACCGGTTGACGCATGGCACTGTATGCTTCGGTACTTTCCTTTCGCCTCCCAAATTACAATTATGCGGCTGATCCACCACCACCGCTTATCACTATCACTGAACAACCACTCGAGGTTGTCGATCCGTCGACTTCCCTAGGTTGCCATGTCGCCTCAATCCGTCATGTCCACGAAAATCTCATTGCACTTATTGCTACGGCTCGTATGTTTTCACTGAAGAAATGGATAACAACGCTGCCGCGCGGCCATTTTAATCGCATGTATGCTTGCCAAGGGGACTTTGTGTTTTTAACCACTGTTTGTCGGAGCAACTGAATCCATCGCGCTCACTTTTTTTCTCCGTGTATTCCGCATGCATTCAATCTCATTTCCCTCTTTGTTGTCTATCTTGGCGTTGGACAGGATTGGATCCACCGCAATTTCCTTGTCAAACTGAACTGACCTCTCCTTTACTGAGTCATCTCAATTTTCTCACTCTCTTCTCTCAACTAAGTTCCACTTTGCGCATCGGCTTTCTCCTGTTGTTGTGGTTTCCGCTGACTATGCGGATAACCTGCCAGAATCTGTTGTGTCACCCACAACCAGTTCAACCCGCAACGAAATGGGAACACCAAATACCAGACAGAACCGAGGGATTCTTATTATATGAGAGCATAACGCAATAAATAGGCTGTAGGCAACTACCAACACAACATTATTGAAGATGCTAATTAATATTAATTAGCACAACTCGAACGGTTTCATTTCCTGGTTCAGTGCCTCCCACCCCATATTTATTCACGTCTGATCTCTGCTCGAGTTCGATCTCCAATGGCAGATCGATCCAATGTTGCGCCATGCTTCTCGGCTTGTACGCTGGCCATAAGCTGACTCTCCATAACACCTCCCTCGCGTAAATTGACATACGACTTCCGTCTTGGGTTCAGCTACATTCTGATGACGGGTGTCCGTACCCGATCAGTCCATCACCGTGGCTGCAAGTTCGTTCCTTTTTGTGGCCTCTGGTCATACTTCATTAGGTCCCTCCTGGGTCCCAGGGTGAGTGGTTCACCAGGTGGAGAACTCCTGTTCTCTCTAAGCGATCAAGCTCCTGGTCAACCATTGGTGTTGCTGCGTAAGGTATAGGGCGTCTCGTGCGAAACACTGGAACGGCATCGGGCCGAAAGACTGCTGTATGCCTCTCTTGCAGGCGCTCAATGGCCACTGTTTTGGGGGCTGTTGGCTTGTGGATCTGAACAATTACACAGAGTTGCAGACGCTTGCATTTCGGTTCGCAGGTAATTTCTCCCTCTAGCGACAAATGGCCTCTTGGTGCGGAATTCGGCAATAATCGCAGTGGGGCGAGGGCTTCTGATTCGGCACGTTTTGATTCACCTTCTGACCTCCATTAGCTGTGTAACGGATCTAGAGTTCACATCTGGTACTTGCATTTTCATCCTTTCTGGTGTCTAATCCCAATTTGAGCTGCTTGCAGCATTCATCTGCAATGTCCTTTGATGTCAGCTCTGGTTCCAGTTCCCATTCTGCTTGAATGTTCAACTTCTGTGCCAGCAACTCTGTCAATTGCCACCGTGATTCTTCAAACACTGACTGATTTATCTGTAGGAGCGTCTGCATTTGCTCCGAAGAGATGGCTCTAAACTGTTGCGACAGTGTTCTTGTGATGGTCTCCATCATTTGCAACTGTGCGGCCTCGAACTGCTGCTGCTGCTGTTGTTGTTGTTGTAGCAAAATAGTTTTCAGGTCTTCTGCTGAGATAGCCATCTTGATTAACTTTTCCTCCCGTCGCCAGAAATATGTTGTGGGTTCCTGCTGAGTGTACGGCTAACCTGTTGCTACCGCGCAGCTGACCGTCGCCAGAAATCTGTTGTGGTTTTCGCTAACTTTACGGTTAACCTGCCAGAATCTGTTGTGCCACCCCCAACCAGTTCAACCAGCAACGAAATGAGAACACCAACTACCAGACAGAACCGAGTGATTCTTATTGTCTGAGAGCATAGCGCAATAAGTCGGTTGTAGGCAAATGCTAACACAACAGTATTGGAGATACTAATTAATATTAGTTAACACAACATGAACGGTTCAATTTCAGGGTTCAACTTACCGCTGACCCCACATAGATTCGCGTCTGATTTCTGCTCGAGTTCGATCTCCAATGGTAGATCGATCCAATGTTGCGCCATGGTTCTCGGCTTGTACGCTGACCGTAAGCTGGCTCTCCGTGACACCTCTACTACTTTCAGCATGACTACTGAAGTTGTGTTTCTCAGTGCAAGTCGTTCTATGTTCGCAAACTCCGGCCCGTAGCCTTAAAGATCACAAGTCTGCCTCGTAATACGAAGGCGCGGGTTCGATCCTGCGTAGGGACCGAGCGGCTATGGCAGTATCATTAGCCTGCGTGCGACTGTTGATGATTACGCGGCAGCGACGCCTTGGTACTGCGTACCGGTTTATTGCTGCTGCTACATTTTATGTACTCGCAAACTGAATGATTTACTTGAGTTCAGACAGGTTTGGCAACCATCGGTTGGTGTATTCTTTGGGCATTTCGCTTTTGGCACCAGAGCTTCGTCAGGTCAGGTGAATCAACTTGCCACTTGAGCAGCATTTACAGTTCACATTTCCATCAATGTCTACTTTCGTTGACGTCGTCTAACAATATCTACCAGTTGCTTTGGCCGCGGCAGCCTCCATGCGCGTCACTTGCTACGGTACTGCTCCGTCATTTACATGCTTTGCATTGACTCTTCGCACCGGTTTGTTTACTCCAGATTTTTGCATCAAATGGGAAGATGGGGTGAAGAGAGTTTCGATGTTAAATCTAAGCGTCTGCACCATACGGGCACAAGTACCTGGCTGTTGTGTGAAGGCAATGCTTCATCGACGAGACAGCGTCCTTATTGCACCCACTTTATCGTTTAGTTACCGACCATACTGCACCAGTAAACCACAACCATATGCGCACTTTGAACTGGTTTCCTGGATAGGAAACAATAACTGACCTATCACAACACCGATTGTGAACCGTCCTTTAATCTCTCAGCCCAAGCACAGTTAAAAGCATGTGGTCTTATGCCTGTACAGCGAGATCGATATCATTTACTCCAGTTGTCATGGACTTCGTATTCTGCGATCGTGTCGGTAACTGCCCCCTGAAGCACTACGCCACCAAACTCCCTGCGTTCAACAACGATCCCCTCTGCGATGGATTAGAGTAACACGTGTCCTAAACTACGTAGCATATGTCTTCTTGTTGGTTAACCCTTCAATCCAACGTACTGACGACCGATCCGTATTCAATTCCACATTTCCTTACTGCGAACCTACTGTTCCCTCGCCACTAGAAATGCTCTACATACATCGATAGTCAAAGGCCCATTCATGCATCAGAGCGATGGCTCGGAGTTTTACTGCCGTAGACAGTGGCCATGCAAATGCAAGGCAATCCACTTCTGGCAGCAGAACTATCGCAGCTTCAGGTATACGTAAGGTACTTTCATTTGTTTTCCGCGCATCACTACGGGCTCACTTTCCAACGAGTGTACTTTGCTTAACTACCCCCCCCATTTTTCTTCATCATGAGCCAATTGACACTAATGCCTAGTAGTCCTAAACTTTCCACTTGGAAAGCGTAAAACAAATCTCTTCGGATGGAACTTCTCCGGAGAGTTTATGACGTATTGACTGTGCCAGCTCTGACTTGTCAATTTGCTAAATGATGTCAACCGTGCAGTTATGATCCACCACCTATCCCTGGACAGAACCTAAATACCAAGTGGTGCTTCACAGAGCGGCATTCCATGCTAAGGTCCACCGTTTCAATTGAGTTATTGCCAACAATTCCACTTGTCTAATCCGACCACATGCACTTGTTGTTAATCTCACAGTGCTCATCTTTTGCGCTTTGCTGCCGTTATCCTTCGTCTCGCACATCACAATTTCACAAATCTCTTACGTTACGCATCCAAAAAATTTTGTAACCTGCAGCATTATCGTCCACCGAACATATTTTCGACTGGATGCCTTCCTCAACAATTCGTTCTCGGTTTATTCGATCTATAGGTCAACCTACAGAAGAACCTATGGAAGCCACTTACGAGTGCGTGATATGCCAGCTCTCCGGGACAGCATCGTCCGATGATATGGTCTTGCTGGATATGATGTGCGAGTCTGGTGGTAAGTTCACTTTCCTTGTGTCCGCATGCCTAGTTAGAATAGAATATTTGAACCAATGACTGTTGGAGCAAATGTTTCCTGGTCCTCCCCAAATCCTGCGGATGGATACATCACCTTTCTGATAAGCATTGTGCACACTGCTGTTCCTCATGATATTGAGTGATCTGCCGGTAATCTTTATGTCTTAGATTTTTGAATCCTATCCTTTGCGGGGGTATGGCTCAGTGTTGAAACTGCGCCACATGTATTTACATTTATTTATTTATTTACACTTTATTTATGTATTTCTTTACACTTACTCTTCGGTGACCTTACACTTTCCATCATGTGCCACGTCCTCCCAGTAGACCATTTTTCAGTGCTTCCAAATCTTCCCAGCCTCACTTTTTCGCCTAACAAAACCACACTGAGTGCCTTCTCTCCGCTTCTGCTAATGATAATTACCTTGCGCTGTTCTTCTGGCTTTTCAGTTACGCTTCACATGAGAGATACACCAGTTCTTCCGGAGCTCAGTGGAAGGTGTCCAACTCAATCTTACGGTTTGCTCGCTGGGCTTCCCCTGAATGAGGACTCCTTGGGGCTCGTACCATCACGTCCGCCGATGCCCTTTGATGCTCAGCATTTGGGTCCAGCCCTCAGTCCCAAAGTGGACGTTCCTGCGAGTAGTAGCGGTAAGGCCCCGACTGGCACCGTAGGGGTGTCTGTTCTTACGACCAGCTTTGATCCAGGAAGTTCGTTGCATCCTCCACTGTCGCATTCAGTGTCCCCGGAAGTCGCTGCCTCCATGCAATCGCCCTCATCACTTCCTTCATCCCCGTCTCCCAATGCATGGCTGCACGGTTTGCCTGGGTCAACATCTGCTCAATCTTCCACCAGCACCCCCGCTAATCCCTCCACCGTTCCCACATTGACATCACCTATTTACGTTGAATCCCGCCGCTGGTGGAGTTTAGCCTTGCCCACTTCTCTCAGTCGAAACCTCCCCGTTCTTCGTTCCGGCCTTGTTTTGCAGACTTGTGGACATATCGTCCATCGAGACTGTTTCCAACGCTATCGGACACAGGTAGGGTTATACTGTGACGCATATGTCCTCTCTAAGTGCTTTTTCGTGCACTTTTGTGCCATCCGACTTGTAAATTATTATCCGATACTCACGTATTCTTTCTCAAATCCGTGGCGGTCGGCACCTGCAAGGTGGATGCGTGTATGCACTTTTTGCCTTTTAATGGGACCTCACAACTTGATCGGTGGCTTAAGGAATGTGTCGCCCGGCTTGTTATCCACTAGTCACCGGTTCGCATCGGCGTAGATGCGTGCGACCGTTAGTGACCGCGTGACAGCAAATTGTCGGTGCTACGCACCGGTGCACTGCTGATGCCTTTCTTTCTTTCGCAGTTGCGCATCTCTGTCATGCTTGGTGTAAGGCCACCTCCTCATTGCTCATCATCAGTACACATTAGCTGAGGGTGAGAAACACACCTCAGCTAATGTGCCGCAATACAAAAAGCTCAGAGACTAAAAAATTGCACTACAAAATATATGATGTTAAATATTATAGTATGCGTTTTGCATGAGATCGTGATTGGAGGGGAATCTAAAGGAGAGGAGGATGGACAAAGGAACACACAACACAAACGCCATTGGAGCCGGCTCCTAGCCAAATCAACAGGTGTGTCCAACTAAACGTGTTCATCGTCCTTAGGACTTCAGCCAGGGAATCGGGATGCACCAACCGACGCCAGCTTCAAAGTGAGAGCCTTCATTCCTCTCGACCAAGTCATCGCTTTTCCACCTCTCCTCTTCCTCCCGCACCCCCGTCGCACAAACAATGCACGTCGCTGGAGTCGGCTTGCTGGCATGCGCAACACATGGCCCAGCCATCGGCACCTGCTGCACCTCCGCATTAGGAAGATTGGCTGTGTGCACCGGACAGCGAGATATTCGGAGGCCATCTGTGTCAAAACATCAGCCCATCTTAAGACCATGTACCAAACAAAATTGTTAATGTGTTTTATTTTATTCACCTCCTCATTAGAAAACACTTTAAAAAGTTTCTTTGGTACGTGCTTACTGTGGCTGTTGTTTGGCCACAGATGGCCTCCGACTATCTCGCTGTCCGGTACTTACAGCCAGTCTTTCTAGATTGTTTCAACTGAGAAAATAATCCCTGAGATGACATCAGAGTCAAAAGACAGTTAGGCGAACAAGCTTGTTTTCGGTGGTTCGCATCAGGCCAACACACCACGGATGATAGGAATAAATCAAACACAGTGTATTTAAATAGGATGAATCAATGAAGTGAATTGACCAGTTAATGCGATCAAGTGACCACACTGGCTTGGGCATCATTAGTGGAAGGGTCAAGCGTGGTGTCGTAACATGGGGAAGTTTGAGGCCATGGCAGTTGTAAAGCTTGTACAAACTTCTTTTGGGCACATAATTCGGGATTATGGAGCCGAATAGCGATTGCTTCCGCTGTCGCCAATAGGCGACATCGGAGAGCTCGCGTGTGGCGTCCAGATATCTTGTAGATAGGCCGAAAGGCCTCTCGCACATTCACTTGGTGATTTGTGTCGGCCAAATGCCCCAGCACCGCGCTGACTACTGTCTTTCTGACACCAGTGTAGAGCCAAGCCGCAATCTTCCTTGATCGGCTGTCTGTGAATGTCACCACTGATCATTAAGCTTTCGGTACCTGGATCATCGAAGGCATTTAAGCTCGGTCCATGTAGTGTCTCGTCGATGGTTTCTGTCGCAATCACCCGCTCAGTGAATACATCACCTGGATAGCTAACGTCCATCTTAGTTTCAATGTAACCGAGACTCTTTTATATCCATGACTTGGGTTTATCTACTTTCCGGGTGTCTGGGATTACTGTGCCTTAAGCCCTAACTGTACATCTAGTTCCTTTTGTGTCAGAAGATTCTCTCTTACTTGATAAGTTACCATTTCGCCGTCTTCGTTGTTGTATGGGGGATTGAACAGATACATGGATCCATTTCTCTCCTCGTTCACTCGGTTTTTGGAGACGGTGGGCCGCCAATCCGGTGGCGCGTAGTTTCACTATTAGTATTTGGAACTATTTTCACCGGCCTTTCATCGAGTAATTTGATTAAGTCTACGGTGGCACCTACATCTTATTCGTGCGCCTATTTGTGCCCAGGTTCTGAGATTGACCCTGATTGACTGGTCTCAAAAATGCCTAAGCGCTGTTTCCAAGCTGACGCATACTAGGCGAATCGGAGGATCTATTTTTTCTGCATTCCCATGATATTTTCAGTTGTAGCCACTATAATTAATCTCGGAATATTGGAATGGATCACTTTGTAGCACACGATGTGCAAACAGATTGCGACACGCACTCTCAACCTGAACCGCGACTCAATTGGTGGTGAATCTGGGTCATTTTGTTCCACGATGTAACGTAGTTGAAGCTGTTGAAAATTAGGTTTTACTGTCCTGAAAACTGTTTTGGGGGTAAAGTGTTGCAAGCGGCCAACACTCGACATACGTAAACGCTGGAATTGCTGTACATGCCAGCCCCTCCTGTATCCGATCTATTTTTTATCAATGGTGTCAGCCAAAAGTGTCTTAACGTTATGCCCACTGACAACTCCACTGCTTTTGGTCTCAAGATTTCGCTTTATGCCAATAGATGGCAATTGGCCCCCCATCGCTGTAGCAACTGCTTGACAAGCCAATCAAATAGTATACACTCTTGGATATGATGTTGCTCTTCACCCATCGAAACTATAATTGATCAAGCTGGTAGTGAAAATCTCATTATTTGTAGTTATGCGTTGATGAGCGCCCCAGGCTAGTTTTAGGGAATGAGCGCTGGGCGTTTTCCAAAGCAGTTCTATCCTTATTGCATTAGTGTTGGTCACACTAAGAGCTCCTTTAACTTAAGCTATGTTTGGGATACTGAAAATGACCTTGTGATGTAGCTTATTAGTCCTCGATATCTTGCATATATTTAGTCCTAATCGGGAACCGAGGGAATGAGCACCACTGACGAGTCCCAATTGGACGAAACGATCGTCTGGTGCTTTTCCGGATGAGTAGCTCACCTTTGCGGCTTGTAATCTAATTGCGATGAACTAACTCGTATCATACTACGTATGTGGCAGAGTATTTGGGATTTTCCTGCAGCGAACCACATAGATCTGCTTTCAATCGGGGATGATAGTATTTTCAACTCTGCATTAAGCTCCGAAAAAATTAACACCTGTGGAAGTAGACATAAAGCTATGTAATGGAACAGGGATTTCATCACGTTGTCTAGGTCCCGGTTCTGCTCTGACCACAACACAGGATAATCAACGGTGTCCTATCTGCTGCATCGAGCAGAGTGGATAGGGGTTTGGATGCTATTACTCCAGCTTTCCCTTCTTCTTATTCCTCCTCCTACGCTTTTTCATCCATATCGTCCCATCCCAACCACTTTTATCCACCCGGATTTCAGCCCCCGATTCTTGGCCCTCCCCCACCATGCTTTGATAGGTGTTCGCACTCACATGCAAACGCGGAGCGTCACTCTTGCCCTATCGACAAGCCCATGTCTAATCAAGCGGTCAAACCCAGTTCATCGGCTTCTATTTGGAACCCCCGATCCTCCCTCAGATTGACATGCCTCAGCGTACGTACATTGTCACAGATCGGTCAACAGGCAGCACGTGCCCGAACACTCGAGATCCTATCGATCGATATTTGCTGCTTATCGGAAATCTACCTGCAAGATTCGAGCTTCTTACTTACTCTGCGATCCCTTTCAGGTGACACAGGCAGTGTTTCCTCACTGCGCCCGTCCGGAGACGATACAGCTTCGAGTAACGGCCAACCCGGTTTTGGTATTACCCTGAGTCCCCGGACCAAAGCTGCTCTAGTTTACTAAATCCCAATCAGTAGCCGGATGTGTGCGGTCCGATTAGCTGGCTCGTTCAAAGCTTCGAAGTCGCGCGGGGCTAACAGATGTCTGTTTATCATCACTGCGTTCGCCCCCACAAACTGTAGCGATGACTCGGTAAAAGACGACTTCTATCGCCAACTGAACGACCTCCTTCGCCACAGAAGAAGCTCGGACACCGTGGTGCTGGCTGGGGATCTTAACGCTTAAGTTGCGAAATCGTCCACTGATGAGCTTCATTTGGGCGGTCAACATGGTGTGGGCTTCCGTAATGATAACAGTGAGCGGTTGCTACATTTTTGTGAAGATGCTTGCTTATTTCTTGCGAGCACTAACATCCGACACAGCACCCGTGGGAAAGTGACATAGCGCCCACCAGCCTCGAACTAGCTGTACCGACGATTCTAAGTTTAAACTAAGTGCGTCATACGAACTCTAAACTAGAAACTACGAACAAATAAACCTAGACTTAACGCACGGTCTGGATAGACGATTGAATCGAATCATCCTGTAACCGTGGTTCTCTAAGGCATATTAAATACAGTACATGACTTACGAATAGATGTTGCAATCCTAGTGGAAGTGGGCAGAAATTGTAAATCCTGCGGGTATTTGGGCAGTGTCACGGTAACAGAATAATATGAATGACCTTGAAACGTCAAGGATATGTCAGTGATCGAGACTGAAAGAATAGAGGTTCACTATGCTAACCGATTGTAGCATACAGAGTGAAAGCGATGTAAAATGAACAGCGATTATGGAATATGTATACCGTGTCCTTAAGTAAGCAGTCCAGTTTGGGGAGTACATCAAAATTCCTTTTGGACTTTACACCAGCCATGGATGCAAATCGATCACATCACCATCTGTTATGGCTGGATAGGCTGCGTCCAAAGCAGCCGATCGATTTGGAGCACATATATAGACACTGACCATGCGCATGTATGTGCTGATCTGCGGGTGCTTTTTGGCGGTCGCCATTGGCAACCCTGCGAACGCATAGACACCAGGAAACTTGCATGACCAGGTATTCTGATTGCGTATCGAAGTACGCTGGCGTTCGAGCTGAGTAAGCGCTCGCTGAATACAGTTGAAGGTCACTGTTTCCATGTCCACCAGACCTTATTAGAAGCAGGTAGCTCATCATGTGGTAAATCCACTACTCAAAAGACACTGGTTCTCTTCGCATTATCTGGAACTTATCGACGCTCGCCGGTACCTTCCGGCTGGAAGAGAACATAACGAGGCTCGCAAAGACATCAGGGTAAAACTCCGTGCTAGCCTAAAGAGAGACTGCGAGTCCTGGTGGTCACATCCTCCGTCAGAGATGGAAGTGCTCCCTGTCCTGGGGAACCATCGGAAGTTGTTCCGTCTGATACGGAAACCGGGCAACAGGAGGCCTGGTGTTAGTGGAACTGTACGTGACGAGAGTAGGCAGCATACTCACAATTTGTCAAAAAGTTTGGAGCGTTGGGCTGAGCATTGTGAAAGGCAATTTAATTGTTTGGAATGTTTAGAACTCTCACCGGCTAGTGATGGCCCTGCTCCCTAGGCTGTCCATTTGGATCCGCCCTTTCGCTCAGAAGTCGAACATGTGAAAAGGACTGTTGAAGTTTAATAAAGCAGCGGGACCAGATGATCTTCACCCAGCTCTCTTCAAATATAAGGGCCTGCTTTTGTTAATGATTTACACAAATTACTAGTGAAACTGTGGGAGCAAGAAACTGCCCCAACCGACTGCAGCCACTCCGTTATTGTCGTGATCTTCAAAGTAGGCTCGCGTTCGGAACACGGTAACCAGTCTGGTCCCCAACGCCTCCAAATTGCTTACCTCTGTAATCCTTCACAGACTGACTGGCGATCGTGAAAGCCAGATTTGTGAGGAGCAGACCGGGTCTCGTCGTTTTCGGGGATGCATCGACCACATATTCGCATTATGTCAGTTGTTGGAGCACCGTCACATATATTGGCGGCCGATCGTTATTGTGTTCCTTAATATAAAAAGCGCCTTCGACACGGTGGATCGAAGTGCCCTTTGGGACTGTTTGCTAAGAAAAGGTGTGCTCGAGAAGGATGTAATTATTATGCTAGCGCTGTACGTGCGTAGCTCGAGCAGAGTGAGGGCTTACGGCAAGCTGTCGCGCTCTTCAATATCTCCAGCGGTGTTAGACTAGGATGCCTGCTGTCGTTTCCTCTTCAACTTCGCTATTGATGAAGTCATGGAAATCACGTTCACAGGACTCGACTTTGATGTTGTGGATCTGCTCCCGGGTGAACGACTTCTTGACTTGGAGTATGCTGATGATATTGCCCTCCTCTGTGACAACACGCAAATATGCCAAGGCACTCTGGACAGTAACACTGACTGTCACCCGTTTCGGGCTATGCTTTACACCTTCGTAGTGCAAAGCATTCCTCCAAGATTGGAAGGTACCGCCTTCTGTGCTGACGCTTGGTGGTGATGAGCTAGAAGTCGTTCAAAAGTTCATCTACCTAGGTAGTTGAATCAGCTCCGTTGCACTTGAAGACGGGGTCACAAACCGGATAGCAAAAGCACGAGACGCTTTTACTCACGTTCGCCACCTATGGCGGTGGCGCAACATCACTCTGTTCCTGAATGGTAGAGAGTACATTGCAGCCGTATGTTTGACCGTGATGTACAGTTGTAAAACCTGGTCCCTTAGATCAGCAGACATAAGGAGGAGGCTAGTTACGTTCGACCACCGGTGCGTTCGCAGTTTGGCTCAAATCTGGTGGGAACACTATATGAGTAATGCACATGTCCAACGACTTGTTTATGGCGCAGGAAGTAGAAACGAGCCGCTCAGTACCGTTCTTTCACGCACCAGGCTCCGATGGCTAAACCACGTGTTGTGCGCCCGGGGTGCGAGTGGAAGAACAGGAGAGGTGGCCAAGCGATGACTTGGGCAAGATGAATGAAGGCCCTTACTTCGAAGTTGGCCTCGGTAGTAGTCTCTCGGCTCCCTTGTTGTAGACCGAAGGTTGATGATTACGTTTGGCTGGATACACTTGTTGACATGGCTAGGAGCCGACATCATTGGCCTTTATGTTCTGAGTTTCTTTGTCCCTTTCTTCCCGCTTAGACTTTCCTTCCAACCACGATCTCAGTTGTTAGGGGTAATATGACTTCTTTGCGGCGCCACAGCCGGCTGTTGGCTCTCCGTAACCATGTCCATTCTTTACTGGTGACTCACGTGGCGTGCCTCTCACATTTTTCTTTTCTATTGCGGCCCCATAGCTGAGATCTTTTCCACCCGCAGCTAACATGTCTAATGAATGAACGAATGATGTTAGTGGTATTCGCTCCTGACGCTTAGAGCCATAAATCATATGCAAATGCCCGCCTATTCGATCTTCAGATGTTCTGTCGTCTGCTCTTGCGATGGTACCTATGTCCGCTGCCAAACAGTAAATTTTTGGCCGTGTTGTTTCGCGTTTAAAATGTATCCTGATTGCGCTGTCTGGCTAGTGGTTTGCATTGCTGTGGCACTGGGTTGGTTCACCACAAGCTTACAACGCAATTCCCATCACCCTGTTAGCAAGTAGATATTTTCCCTTGGTTAACAGCTTTTATCCTCTTTTTTTCTTTCTAGGGCTCTGCTCGAACTGGCCCTGCACGGAATCGAGTTTGGGTCTCTTGCCCACTATGTAGACGTGAAGTGCACCATCTCCTACCCTTGGTACCCATTCATCCCAATGACAAGGAGGCCTGGTCCAACTTAAGAACCCGCGTCGATCACATCTCTGCGCTTGAGGCTTCCCTAGTATGTTTTTTTCACGTTGGCCTAGTGCATTTTCTTCCATATCGAATCGCTTCGTGGCATTTTCCTAAAGCTGTGCTGCACTTCTAATGAGTAGTGTGGTGAAACGAACAGTCTCGATGAACTCAGCGAATAATAGATTACCGCGAATGACGGACGCGTAGTGCACGATTCAATTAGCCCTGAAAATGGATGGCGTAGCGTCGAACCTATACCGTATCATCACAGCATGCTGAGTCGATAGCGCAAGGCGCAGCGTAGAGTCAAGTGGCACCACGATTAATATACTCAAATATGTCCGACTGTTCTATGTTAGAAATGTTATACCATGTATACATTCCTTCTCCAATACATAATTCATTCGCACCGCTCCGCCTTCTCCACAGAACAAAACGTTTGCGAACATTTGCGTATCATTTCACCACGTTTTGCGGTCCAGCACTTCTCTGCTCCAGTCTTGTGGCTTCCGCGCCCTCTGTGGCTTAGGTCTCGATTTTCTGCAGTAGTGATCAGTCCACATCCATTGCTACTCTCTCTACAGCCATTTTACTCTCAGTCGCAAGATGCGATTCTAGGGTATTTCTTCAACTTTTCAACTTTTTTCTTTCCCTTTTCTTTTTTTGCACTTATATCACTGTTGTCTCCTTTGACTGCTTGTTGTTTGTTTCTTTATCAACTTTTCTGATGCCTATCTTCATGGTTTTCAGAAAAACCTCACACCCGACGGCAGAAGTGTGTGGGATGATCTCAACGGTGTCGAAGACGATTCCACCGTTCATCGGCGGGCTCTCATGTCTCCGCTCCTCGGAGAACGATTTGAAGCAACCATCCTTCTCAGGTTTGATTTTATAAACCGCTGTGTATTGTCTCAACCTTTTTAACGTCTTGCTATTTCCCTTATCTTTTATGACACCACGCCCTGTGTGATCGTCATGCCTTCAAATATCCATTTGGGTAGCGCACCTTTTCAGGTACGGCTTCGAGTTTGATTCGTCCTTGACTGTGGACAAGCTGGAGGATTGTCGTTTTCGCTGATATCATCAATGCTCTTCGTGTCGAAGGCACCTCAGTACACTTCTGTGTTGCTATGTGCCGTTCAGTCGAATCGTCCTCGTCATCAATAATATCTCGTTAGTATCGGCACGTAATCACAAAGAGAGAAGAAGTGGGCACGTTATGTGAAACCCATGTGCCCTAGGCAACCGTTAAGGATTTGAGATGTGAATAGCATTCTCATTTTAACACTCTTATCCACTGACTGCGGTTCAAGTATTGAATAGCAAGTTTGTTGTTATAATTTTACGGAATCTCCCTGCTTCAATGTTGTCGTAACACGGTTTTTCTCAGTACTCCTATTCACTGGGGGTTCATTTTGACAGAGGCTATCTCGATTAGTTAAATAACTTTGCCTCGCTAAAGCATGGAGTCATACCTTCAAGATATCTATCCCTTATCAAAAACGCGCGGTCACCCGCTGCTGTTTCTCATGTGAGGATAAGCCAGCATCGCCAAACCAACTTGTTACGGTTGACACGAACTCAAGTCCTTTACAACTCAGCACCGCACACTGTTGACTAGGCAAGTCAGCTGATAGACGACAGTCAAGGTATCGCTGTTACTGTTTGCAAGCTGTCTTATTTAAAAGCACTGTATAAGTAGCAAGAGAGACATTCCTGGTTTCGCATATGTTGCGGGCAGGAGAACGAACAGTTCAATCCACTAAGGCTACGTTGATGGGTAGGTAAAGCAGCTCCAGTTATGGTCCACCGTACAACTTGCACCCACTGAGACAGTGCTACTGCATCTTTGAAACCCACGTCCTCGGAACTTGCCTCACAATCGTCTGCTTCTAACTTCTTTGTAAACTCTGCCCTTCCAGGCGAGACTGATTTCGCGTCGGCACCACAGATGCCGAAGATTGGCAATAGCACCTTGAGCTTTTGCTGTACTGTTCGTGACCTCATCTTCAGTCCCACAGGCGCTAATATAGATACCCAGGTACTGAGTTTGTCTGGCCTCCAATCTGGTACGACTGACTTTGAAGGTGCAAAAAGCACCATCCAGCACAGCTCAATGGATCAATGAACAATGAAGTAATGCGGGTTAAGCAGCATTGCTTTACAAGTCCCGTTAGGTAGTTGATGAGGATATCGAAATACTAATAATGATAGTAAAACAATTAGTACTTTAACCATAAAAAAGGACTTATCGTTTTCTCCGCCGTAGTCCTGCAGTCCGCGTAGATTCATAGCATCCACAGTTAACATCAACTAAATCCATGATAAACTCCAGATGTAGGATGGAAACGTAGCGCTAAGTAACAAAGGGTAAGCGGATGAGTGCGTCCTCCAATCGTCTTTTGCCTACTGTTAGTGTCGGTGCAGAGACAACCGATTCTGGGACAGCATTCCACGGGTGACAGACACAAATGTAAAAGGAATTTCTGCGGCACTCCAGGCGGCTACACTGTACATCGAGTTTCAATGAGTGTCCCCTCATGGTTGTATTGATGCTGAGTCGCAGTAAAGTGCGGCACACATGATGAGGATCTCGCAGAATCAAGTACGCCATAAGCAGCTCGCCTCCTAGTCTGCGATAGCTTCCACTGAATACCCCAAATCGTTGCAGCCTCATCTGGTATGAAAAATTGCGCATTCCAATTACCTTCCTAGATGCCCGGCTTTGTGGCTGCTCCAGTACATTAAGGTCATGTTTCAGCCATGGATACCAGTCTTGAATTGCGTATTCGACATGGGGGCGAACATACGCACTGAGCATTTGTCGAAATATGGAGCTGTTTATTTGTCCAAACGCCCGCCTCAACAGCCTAACTTGTTGGTTTCCAGTCTTCAAGACCTTTTCGGATTGCCTGGAGCAACCCAAGTCATCTTGAACCAGGACACCCAAGTCACGTTCGAGAGTTGCGTGTTGCAGTACATTCGTTCTGAGTCGGTATGAGTAGCTGCTCTGATGTCGGATGGAAAGCACCTTGCATTTACTGACGTTGAAATGCAGCACTTTTTGGCTTTTACATTGACACACCGTATCTAGATCATTCTGAAGCACATGTTGGTCAGCGTTCTCCTGGACCCTGCGCCAGATCTTGATATCGTCTGCAAGCCTTAGGAAGTTTGAAGCGATTCCCTGTGCAAGGTTATTATTAAACATCAAAAACAAACGTGGACTTAGAACTGAGTCTTGCGGCCCATCACATTTAATTTTTATGAGGTCCGAGAAAGAGCTCCGAACTCTGATCACTAATTGCCGTTAAAGTAGAAAGTTAGCAATCCAGCTTAAAAGTGGGTCACCGATCCCGTAATGCTGGAGCTTGGTGAGTAGTACCCGATGGTCTAGGCGATGGAAAGCCTTCGAAAAATCACATCACTGCCTTCTGCAGCGTCAGCTGGCTCGGTCCAACTACTGCGTGAGATTAGTAATTTTGTTGTGCCTGATCGCTGTCGACGGAAACCGTGCTGCTCAAGCGTGATGAAGTTACAGTTTCCCAGATTGCGCACCAGTGCATCGGCAATTATGGATTCCATGACCTGGGCAAGTATAAGAAGAAGGGATACTGGGCGGTAGTTGGAGGGATCAGTTCTACTTCCACCTCTGTGAATCGAGGTTATTATTCCATATAGCGGGAACTTGATTCTGGTCTAAGTAGCGCTGGAAAAACTGAGCTAAAGATCCTACCCGTTGTCTTGCTGCTGCTTCCAGTGCCTCTGAACGAATGGTGTCGACACCCGGCGGGCTGTGTTTGCCTAGAGGCGTCGACTTTTGCAACACAGCCTCCGAAATAAAGATGCTGTGGGTTAGTCCTGGCGGGCAGACAACAAAGTAGGAAGATGGCTTGGTGACAAGACCCTCTGAAACGTGGGGGCATATTACATCCGCATGGTGTTTGCTGTTTCCACAGCCGTTCTTGTGGGGCCATCAGCCGCCATGAGTGGAGGAAATTTTTGCCCCACCTTTCGTAGGCTTTCGTAGGTTTTTGTGATGTTTTGCTGATGGGCGGCTTTGTCTTCTCTTAGCAGTTGAATGCAGTGGTTACGTTGGGCTACCTAGTTGTCCCAACTTTCTAGTGATGGATCTTCTTTGTGCACTTGTCATGCAGCGTTGCCTACTTTTCTCCATTTTCGAGTTCTCCTCCTAACGAGAGAAACTGATGTACGCTTATTGCAAACCATTATTTTTGAAGCTTCTGCACTCAACTGACTGAATTTGTTGACGAACTCGAGCCAGACGACTTCCGAGGGTTCTTCGGCAAGAAACAACCAAGTTATAGTGCTGATGAGCTGGGCTAATCGATCGCAGTTTATGATGGTTCGCACATTCCCATCCTTCTCATTCCGATATCAGACGAAGTTGAAACTGATCACTGCGACCCAACGGGCAGTCTAAAACCACCACATCAATCATATACTCCTCGTTGGTAAGCAGAAGATCCGGCATAGATGGCTTGTTACCTGTTCTGAACCAATTAGGCAAACTGATGTGATTGTAAAGAGCAACACTGGTTACGAGATCGTGTAGATCGCCTCCGAATTGTTCTTCAATCGTGGCAGGTGTTTCTACACAATGTACGCTGAAATCACCCATGATAAGTGTATGATTGTACTTTCACTGTAAATTGCATCCTAAAGCAGCCGCTAGGTGGCAGTCGGTTTCAGGTGTAGAGTTAGGGGGACGGTACACCAAGAAAATAAGACAGGTGTCCCTGCCTTTTAACTGCAAGCGGCACTAAAGGTAGTCGGGGAACTGCGAGTCTGAATCCGTCACGGCTTCACACTGGAACTCGCTTCGGTAATACAGGATTACCTCTCCTTTTGTGAGTCTATCGTTCCGGATCACCGACATGCCCGGTAGCGAAACTTCAGCGTCCGTCATTCCCGTGTGCAACCACGTCTCGGTGATACCAATGACATCATATGACGCGGAAGCTTGGCGATCTTTCATTTCGGCCAGTTTATTAAAAAGACCCTGAGCGTTCGTATACAAGCAGGCCAGTTTCTCGGTTTCTAGGAGCCCACAGAGGGCTAAAGGGGTCAGGTGCGGGAGAATTCCGACGGATTTGAAGTCGGTAGATGTTTTTTGATGGGATAATTATACTTCGTCTGAAAATTGATTCGGCTAAAGTGCGTTTCAATCTTCGTTTTGACCTACGTCAGAGTCAACTAAAGCAGCTGTCAAGTTACGCTTCTGTACATTCGTCGGCATGCTTGCTACTTCAGGTGCTCTAATATTTGAACTGTGCATAGCTTCTGCGACCTTCAACCAATGTTCAGAAGGAAGACTTTTCCGATTTCTCTGCCATCGATCCAAAACATCCGTTGCTTGTTGCTCTGACTGAACCACAAGTTTTAGGATCCTATGGCTGCATCCTCTATAATTTGGTGAGGGAGGTATCCTGGTGAGCGATAGCGCCACAATATTATCCATAGAAAGTGTTTTAAGAGTGAATCGCCACTGTACTAAATTGTGCTTTCCGGGACCTGGAATATCGACAGAAAGGTGTTCTGGCACGCCATGTATGAAGATTGTGTTTAGGCGGTCTTGATTGCTGTGTCCCTCTTCGGTGTTTCTTTTTGATTGTCGCGCGCTCCAAGGGACATCAGGATAGATGCGTATCCCACAGGATCCGTGTTTTAGCACGCTTGCGGAGAGCAAAACGTTTTCTACGTCGGTGGAGGATTCTAGTGTTACTCGATTAAGTCTGGGTTCTCCATAGTCTGGCGAGTACGGATGACGAGTAATTCGTAATAAGCTTATGGGCTTGGCTTCGACACTCATCAGCACGTACAATGAGTTCCATTGGTCTTGGTCGTCCGATAACTTATCACGCAATCTGATGGCGGTAGGTTCAGACATATGAGCATACAACAGTCCGGGAACTATTGTTGCTTCCGTTTTTCGTTGGTCTACAAGGTAGGGTACTCGTTTGTTTTGACTTGCTGACAAGTGTTGCTTGTTTACTGTTTGTCCCTCTATTCATATCCCTCTATTCATGTTAACAGAAGAGGCCGCAACGACGTCCTCCTGGTAGACCTTTGCAGCAATCCCTGCATATGTAACTGATGTTCCGGGAGGCATTGTCTCAACAAGCGACATTTGAGCTACGGGTACCGAGGGTTGGTGTTCGGCTGCTTCATTCTTGTTAATGCTAAATATCAGGTCTAGGGGAAGTTGCTTAGTCAGACGTTTCTAGTGGTGCCTGCTTTTCGTTGCCATGGCTACTGTTTGGCTCTAGTAGGTACGGGCTGTGTTCGCCCTGCGTTCTACCAAACTTGGGGAAGACAACGGAGATGGGGATGTGGCTGATTGTGGTTCAGGGAAGCGGATTGTGCAGTATTCCGTTGTTAAGACGCCGCTACGCTTCCGTGGTGCTTACTGGCTTCCAGTAAAGTAATCTTATCGTTTATCGTCTGATCGACTTCTGCGATTAACCGGTCGCACTTCTGAACTAGGATAAGCAAGCACTTAGTGAGTGGGATGGTGGAGCACGCAGTACAGAACCAAAGTGCATTTTGCGAGCTAGTTTGCTCTCGTACCTGTTGTTGGGACACATTTACACATTTCGGATGATATCATTCCATATATTGCCAGCAAGCCAGTCCTATTATAACTAATCGATGACATTCTCCTAATCCGTAAATGCTTTTCATTCGGAGCCTCTTCGGATTCGTATTTCTGGCATTCAACATGATGTCGTTACCTGACCCATTGGTTTGGTTGACGTTCTGTACTTTTCCAGCTTTGAGAGCGGCGCACATCGGTCGGGCGAGTGTGGTGGTCACAAGGTCAAATGTGTGGTCGCGCGGTCCGTGTGATGGGTTATGCAGGCGCACTGGCTGACAAGTCCACAAGGAATGGCTGGTGACTGGAACTTGCTAACTGAATCTGAACACAGATTGGGTGATCACAAATCCCTTCACAGCTACGTTGTGAAACACCGGATCGGAATAAGCTTAGGCTTTTCGGACTGCCTCGAGAATTCTGTATCGAATGGTGTCACACAGAAAGGCAATCGGCTCAATGTGATTGAGTTATCCGCTTACGCTTAATCACGGATGCCAGTGAAAATGGTTAGTGATGGCACGGATTTTAATCGTAGAAAAAATTTCCGCCTACGATGTATAGGGCTGGCAAATTCGAATGAGCGTACAGTGAAAACGCTGCGAAAAAATGGAGAGAGGATAGAGAGGAATAATCCAAATGGACCAGGATCATGCGCGTCACGCGTGTGTGGATGACCTTGAGGCACACAAACTATCGCACCGCGTTTAGATCCACTCTCGTTGCGATGGCTAGAAGTCAGCCCCAGTGGTGGTTGCGCTGTGAGTTTCTTTGTCCATCCCCCTCCAATAACAATCTCATAGCGAATCGACAAAATCATTACTTGCATTTGAATTTTTTGTAATGTTATTTTTAGTATCTCACCTTTCTTGTATTGCGATACATCAGCTGAGACGTGTTTCTGACCATCAGCTTACGTGTATTGATGATGATAATGAAACGTTTAAGCCAAAGTATCCTCTTCGATCGTTACAGATCTCAATTGGAATGCGAACTATCTGTTCTAATGAGCTGTCCTGTTCAATACTCCGTGGTATCTCGTCGATGTTCATGGCGTGAGTGGGGCTTTTCATCTTATTCTTCTTGTCCTCTCACGTCCAACTTTTTGTCCATTTCACTTCTACTGTGATTGTCGCATGCGCACCATGAAGGCATCAGCAGTGCGCCGACAATTCGTCGTCAAGCGAAATTTAACAATCACGCTTGAGATGGGTATACCGCCCTCACATACGCGGATTCTAATCGGTTACCTACGGAGTACAAGGCAAGCGCGTGATCCTTACGGCCATCGGACTGCAACTTATACAAGCTAATTAAGTAAAGTTGTACCGGTAAATTTGCCCTTAACCACATCGTTGGATCTTTTCCGTTTGTGTTATAACACGTCATAGTTGTTCCAACTCTCACTCGGAACGTAATAACGTTCTTCATGGCAGTACCCGGCGTGCGCAGCGTAGCGCGTCGAATTCTTAACGTTTCGGGTTAATGAAACCTACTTGTCACACGTACGCGCTAGATGAGACTGGAAACGAAAACGCGTCATCTAGCACAACTGCACTGGGACCCGAGCGAGAAAAGAGCACTGGCCGTTAGCAAACGTTCTTTTATTGACAGCCAAAGCAAAGTATGCCTTCTACATGGTTGGCGGCATCCGGTTTCGGATTTGTCTGTCAATGTGGTCAGCCACAGTACGCCTGCGCCTACAGAGGGTCCATGGATGGCTTGCGCTGCACCACCCACAGCTCCATCCACATACCCCATATCCAGTCTTAACCCGAAGGAATACGATCGGGAGGCATGTGGATTGTAGACAAGTTTCATCAACGGTGCCGGTCCACACTGCTTCACAGGCAAACACAAGCACACTGTATTTGGGGAGTCAAGGTCACACAAGGCGGTGGCTGAACCGTAGTCCGCTCCACACTGAGTGCCTAGCACGACCAAAATCATCGTGCACCACGTCCCCTCCAGCGACGACCAACAGTCTCCTGGTGCCACTATAGACGAGGTACTGTGTAATAGACAGGTAAGCACCTTGTCAACATGCACATCAAGCGCAGCCACACCTGGAATGTCAAACAACAGCCAATCATTCGAAATGCCGATATCAGATAAAAGATATCGAAGAAAGTAAACCTATATGACGGCATAAATACTCGCTAAATTAGCATATGGAGTAAATTGGTTATAAGCGAATCCGCGATAAGTACAAAATGCCCGAAAGTTATTTAAAAATTACCACGTGATAAAGTTACGCAAGATTACCATAATTAGCATGAGCGACGTGTGCAAGTTGGGAGAAGATTATCAGGTACGCAGAACAAACCAAATAAAGTGGAATGAATTTTATCCACATGAAAAATACCTAGTTGAAGTAATGGTTTATTTAGCCAAACTGCGGTGAAGAAGCATCATGAATGCTACATCAGCCTCAGCATGGGGCACATGCCTTCGACACCTTCATATTTACAGCACAATATGGTTGATGACCTCCGGTTCCGGATTTGTCTATCACTGTGGCCTCCATAGGATAGCCACAGGACACCGGCTACAGAGGGACCGTGGGTGGCTTGCACTGCACCACACATCCCATGTCCAGTGTAAGCCCGAAGGAATAAGACCAGGATGCATGTGGATGGGAGCCACGTTTCATCAACGGAGCCGGCCCACACCCCTTCACAGGCAAACACAAGCACACTGTATTTGGAGAATCAAGCGAACACAAGGCGGTGGCTGGACCGTAGTCCGCTCCACAGTGCATGGAACCATTCTTCGAGCCTAACTCCGTTACGAAGACCGTGCATCCCGCCCTCTCCAGCAACGACCAACTGTTCGAAATGATTTGGAATATTGGTAGCTCGGGAGGCTTGCTCAGTTGTTGTGGAGTTCTCCGAGCTGGGCAACTTGGTTGCAAACGTTTCACCACCATTCGAGGTGGCATCTTCAGTGCGGGATTGATAGCAGTAAAGTAACAGTAGCTGGTAGAAAGCAAACCCATTCTGCAGTAAATTCTGTTATTGTCAGTGGCTTTGTGCGGTAGCTGTCGCAGTATGCTGAGGACCGTTCAGGTTGTTCCCTGCGGCTTGACACGATAGATGCATCAGTGTCCTCAATGGAACTCAGCTCTTTCTTTAGTCTTGTCACAATGTCCTGGGTACGGCTCGGTTGTTACTAGCGCAGTCTGCATTTGCTACACATGACATCGCAAATCATCCGGCTTTCTTTACAAAGTTGTTTTCCCCAGAAACCCTACTATTGCCCATTATCGACTGCTGGCACTTAAATATTATCACTTCTATTCAGTCGAATTTCGACAACCCATCCTCCATTTTAGGAATTATTTCACGGTCCCATTTCTACCATGTCCCCCCTTCATTGCGCTCAACTGTGCAATTTGTTCACTTTCAATTTTAGGTGAATTTCTGTCCTACATACGTCTAATATACCGCAAGTCTACCGATTTGTTGGCACTGTTGAACAGTTTGACCAGTGAGACAGCTCCATTCCTGGATGAACCCGTGTCCGGCTCGTGAGTACATTTTCATGTCCATTTACTCTTTTTGGTAAATCTCTGCTCGTTACCGTGCTTGTATGGCTACCTTGATTGGTATTCTCCGGTGAGGTTGTCCTTCTCACCTCTTTCGTGCGAGGACACCATTGCTGTCTGTTAGTCGTGATACCCATGCCTCCCATCTGTTTCACGTTACGGGACGCCGTACAATGCTTCACGCCTATTAGTCCCTGTTGTGTTCAACCAGGAGTGTACTCTAGTTTTTCGCCGAGCTCCCAGCACACCGATGGTGACAATTTCTCGGCTTTGCTTTGTGTGATTCCCATTAGGTCAACTAACTGCATTCCTTCTTCAAAAGTGCTAATGTCCTACCACAGCCTTTTTCTAAAATCTATACACCATGGGCTTACATCAACAAAATAGCCGACTGCTGACGAAGCGCCAGCATCACATCTGTACGGAAGAAAGCAACCTGTAAATATCGCTCCATTGCTTGTACTTCTGTGGTTTTGAAGATATTTGCCCGGATTATTCTCGAAAGAATGCTGGCCCAAACTTCCTCTCAATTGATTGTTTTCACTTCGCCTACCGTAGTGCAAGGTCCACTTTGGATGCATTAACTTGTTTTGTTCTTGCTTTCATAACTCGATAGCAAACACAATCCCACGCGTATCTGCTTCATAGATTACAGTGATGCTTTCAGTTGTGTAAACTGTGAATCTGCTCATTTCTGAAGTTCGCACTTTATCAGTAGTACTCCTTACAGACAACTTTACCAAACGTACATAGTTTATTAGGTTCACTCAAAAAAGCTCTTCTTCGTGCACTCCGGTGTTTGTCAGGAAGCCATTTTGTACCCATCTCTATTTTAGATTAGCTCAATCCCCTTTCCGTAGGAATCCATTCAGCTGAAGTATACCGATGACCTGATCTCTTTAGTGTACACACAATCGCACCATAGATTCATCGGCCAAATTACAATGCTTCTTAGATAACCTCACAGCTTAGTCCAAATCCAGCTGTCTTCCACTGAACGCATTAAAGTGCAGAGGTGTTCTTTCCCGCTTTCTAAGGAATATCGTTACTTCTCACGCACACCCGGCATCTTTGTATTGACACTGTCAGTCTGACGTCTTGTACGTCAGTGAAAGTTACACCAATTCGTTATCTCACCTGGTCCCATCACTCGAACCTCCACTAAAGTCACATTACCTTTGCTTGCGTATTATCGCACTGGACGTATTGCTCAGCTGTGATTTTTCCTGGATTTTTTTCCTGGCATTTCAAAGCGATCAACAGGTCACTAAAGCATCTTACTTGATGTAGCGGCATTTTTCTATTGAAGTGCGCTGACATTGTGTTTAATCACGTTCACTCCTGCGAAAAACGGGCGTGCAAAACACTGATGTCAGTCATCTCCTCCATCGTGCATTGTCGTAATGTGTCTGGACTTTTTCGACCAAATGTACAAAGCCATTTATGCTCTCACGCCGACTTACGGTACGTTACTTGTTCCCTGTTTGTCACGTTTCTTGTGGGATCAAACTTTAATCAAACAGGAACTGCTTTCCAAACTGTTCCGATTGTATCACCTGTGTCATCTTTTCAAATCGTTGACGAACCATATCCATTTGTTATACTTCTCATTGATATTATCTGCGTCATTGACCTGTGTTGTGGCTAAATATTCACTCATCATGGACGTATAAAGCGCATTGTTGACTTCATTTGACTCTCCCATCACTTGTTCATCTTTTTCTAGGTTCACAGATCCCGTATTCGCACTCTGCCAGGACCCCGCCGATATATTGCTCACCTTTGTCCCACATGTTTGGCCTCGTGAAGGTAAGACACACTTTTTTCTTATCACTTCCCCTCGTCGTTAACTGGTGTCCTTTTGTTGTCTCGTGATATCGAGATTTCTGCGTGATTCTCGATTCCACTGGAAGTAGTAGTACGCCTTCGTCATCTCTTGGTTTTGTACGATCCATGTCCTTACAAAAATTGTACGTCGATGATTGGTTATTACTTTTTCGCAGATTTGTAAAGTACAGAGCATTTTGAAGCGCTTCCTGGCATGTAACAGCGAATTATTCCGGGAGGAAATTTTGTTTGACGGATTGCTGTGGTCAACTCCGTACTTTGTACACCTCCAAATACATTCGCTTCAACTAGTTGAAGCGCGTATCGGCGGATGCACGGTAGAGAAAACAGATGCGGATAGCTGCAGTTCACAACACGTTATCTGTCCACCAACACTGGATGATGCAGTTTATTATCGGGGCAGTTTTTTGAATACATGCAACATTTCGGCGGTGCTGACAAGTTGGTAGGGTATTCCTTCGCTGTCAAATAGTGCAAAACCGTAACCGCCCTTCCACGCGTACATACACATGAATACTGATTATAAGCAGCAAGTAGAGTTTGCTCTATGTAGCTGCATCAATCGTTGCTTATAGACAAATACCCGTTATATTGTGTACCGCTCAATATATTTTGCGTTGGCAAAATGTTCGTCAAGTAACTTCTTAATTCCGACACCGACTTTGCCTCAACTACGTACTGCGGCAGGTCGTTCCATACATTCACCACTCTGCGTTCGAAACATAGTTGGTGAGCGACCCGCTTCAAATCCGGTACGACAAGCTTATACCGGTGTCCTCGTGTGCTGCTTGGTGTGCGCAGATGAAGCAGCGGTCTCAGCATTGGGTAATCACCCAAATGCAGTATCCGGTGCGTCATGATGAGGTCAACCCTCATTCGACGATAAGCTAGGGTGTACAGCCCTAGTTTCTTACACCGGTCTTCGTACGGTACACGTCGTATGTTGGGAATCAGCCTGCACTCGCTCAAGCTTTTCTACCTCGCCCCGGGTAATAGGACAATACGCGGGAGAGCCACACTCTAGCATTGTTCGTAGTCGCCTCTTCGTCTCTACGAAGACCAAATGCTGAAGCTGCGCTTGAGCGCCCAAAGCATCCGAAGGCTGTTTTGGTACAGCCTATTCGTGTGGTCCATGGACTTTAGGTCGTATCGTGATAGTACACCGAGGTCGCGCACGAAAGGTGCGGGATGCAACGGTTGACCAGCCACCGTGTACGTTCGACAGTGCTCACATTTACTCAGCCTCATGAATTGTGACTTGACAATGTTGTATGAAGTTTGCTTCAACTTGCCACACCATGCGTCTCTCCATAACTCACGTCTATCATCTCCTTTCACTGATATATTCTTCTCTCACAGATATATTCCTGACAATCGTTGCCGCTGCCTTCACTTTGGCTTATGTTCGAGCACTGATCGGCGCCTTGTTTCGCTTCTCTGGCATTCGAGGCTCGCCGTGTTCATTGGCTGATTCCGAGGAACTCCTTTCCAAAGTTGGTGTATACACGTTTCCGTAACCGAGTTTACTTAAACTAGACAATTTCCTAATCCACTCAGTCTATTGCCGTTCCAAAAATACATTGAGGTCGTGTGCTTGAGTCCATCTTCGGTGCATCTAATTCGGAATTCTCTTTGGTCTCTTTTTCTCCAGCTTTCCGGACCTTTCGCTGAACATGTGCAGCATTTGTTGCCATTACTACGTTCACTCACCAACCCATTGCCGTCGAGCTCACATGAAACAGATTCCACTTCCAGGATCCAGAACCTTTTGTTTGAAGCAGCACGACTCCCTGATGCCTACACAGCTGAGGAAATGGAATTTAACCAAGACCAGTTCGAATTGCATGTTGTTTTGCGCATGCTTCCATTGCTGCGTCTGGCAGCCCTTTGCCGTACACGATGGCAATCAAACACCGTTGGACAACAGCCTCATGCGTCCCGACCCTCCACCCTGATCCCCTCAGGCCTTCCATTTGTCGGTCAGCTGGTCGTGAATGTCGGTCACCCTCAAGTGACCGAAAATTTACAGATCACACCTGAGGTACCTTTGTTTCTCATTGTTGTTTACCTTTTGTGGGTCATTTCGTGTGCCCATACTTTTTGCCTGCTGCTTTTTATTATTATTTTTGCTATTCGAGCACGCACTATTTTCAGTAATCTCTGTACCCAGTTCTTTTTTCCTTTGCGCTCAATTTGCCAGTTCCTACATTGCTCCTTATTACTATATATTTTTCTATTGTCAAACCCTGTCCTAAAGCATATATTGTTTCTTGTGTACTGATGTTACAGCAACGACTCTTGGAATTCAGCGACCTTTCCCGCATTCTCTTCCTGGACTCCTGGGACACAACGGTGATCAATGTAGCAGCGGTCGCTGAACTTGCAGCCAATCGATCGGGACTAATTCCTGATGTCTCAGAAGGCACGCGTGACTCGCGATCCCTGTTCACGTTGATGGACCGATGGTTCGCCCAACTGGCGAACCGGTCACAGGCTGGTCCCACTGATGCGAATAGTCCAGCATTCGTCTTTCCCGTGGATCATTCGCTCACGCAGAATACCGCGGATGCCATCGACTTACGCAAGATCACGGAATCATGGGTGACCAACCTCATCGTAAGTGATACGTTTGTGTTTATCACATTGATCTGGGAAGTTATATTTGTAATTCGGAATGTGAATATCAGAAGACTCAGATTGAGAGATGCCTGTGTCATTTGGTGCATCCTCTCTGTTCAAGTACATCCAGCTAACAAATGATTCAAAGCAAGGTAAATTGAAAATACGTGGTGGCCATTCGTTTTTTGGTTGGTGCGCTACATGTTACTTCGATAGACTTAGAGTCACTGTCAGCTGTTTTCGGACACAGAACGATGGGCGCTGTCGATTGATAGCAATGACCCCAAAGAACTTGCGAATGTGATTGCAATAGAGGGCTATGAATGGTGCATCAGGGGTGACCTGGTGACCGTCGTTAAGTTACTGCTCCGTAATCTGAAGGGAATTGTTTTTCTTTGACCATTCTCCTAGGCATCTGGCCGTTTAATCCCACGGCTTTTCAGCTGATTTTCTCGCCATTTTCACCCGTTTCCATGCTCCTACTCCCTCCCTTATTCATTCCCCTATGCTGTCTGCCGTAGGCCGCTTAACCCGAAAATCGTTTTACCGCGGTACTCGCTTCAGTGTCCCAATCGCTATTTTTCAGCGACAACAGTAGTACTTATTGTCGCAACAGCCATACCAATAGGAAATAATAATTGGATGAGAGGGGGAAACTCGTACTCCCGAACCAAGCGTTCATGATCCAAATGCTTATGCTCTTTTTGCAGCTTTCTCTATTCCGCGTTATAATCCATCATGAACCGCGAATAACTCGATATCGGACACAATTTGAACATGCAATTAGACGGGAAGGTCACCGCAGTCGCATCACTGATGCCGGTTTCTAGGACCCCACTGAAAAATCAGACAAATTATCAGTGGCCTTATTTTCTGCTACCTGAATGATTGCTGTTGCTTTCCGCTTTGCGCCACTGTCGATCAGGCAAACAACTTGTGGCTACGATTAACATAGAGGGCAGGCGCATTGCCAGGGCAGCGCAAGTTATTCGACATTTTTGACCGATGGCGGTCAATTCAATTGACCATCATCGTTTAGTGTTCGTGTTGGGACCATCCGACTCTAACAACGGCTGGCAATCACTGATTGTCTTTAAGGCATCTCAAACCTCTTAGGTATTTTGTACCGCGTCAGACGATCTTCATTTGGCTCTGTACACATGGCCTTTCACGTCGACAGTAACTTCCTTTTGTCGCCACAGATATCACAGGCTCGCGAATACAGTTATGGTTTGCAATACGCTTACCGATGTTAATTGAGCTTCTAAGATAGCCACATAGTTCAGTCAGTTCCAGTTCACCTTTCGTCAAGCGCCATGGTTTCCTCGAATAGTTGGTAGCTCTTTAACAGCACTTTTCACTTCGAATGTGCTTCGCACATCTCAGGAAATGGGATCACTCCGGAAATCTTAGCTCGGGTTGCCTGTACCACTACTTGTTTGTCGAGCAGCAAGACGATATCATTCACATAATCCAGGTCAACCATTTTTCATTAGACAACCTGTTCATTGCCCACATTATGAGATTCTGCACCCTAATACTCCATAATGGAGTTCACGCTAAAGTACAACGAAAAGGCAATGTGGGTCAGCGCCTTGGCATTTGCTGCCAAAGGTGACGGAGCTAGGCCTTCAAAATGGCTACCATACATGACCGCTTTTGCGAATGGAACCATCATTTATGTTCTTGGCACAGAGCTTTTTTTGGTAAGCTATTTAGACATATTGATAGCAAAGTAACTTTGTCCATCCTGTTCGAAACACTTTCCTCCTCCACCTATTTGTTTTACTTCTCAGGGATTAATGGAGGTCGGAAGGCAACTGTACTCGCCCAGGCTAATCCGGACACCGCATTCATTCGATACTCTGTTTAATGCTTTGCATTTGGTCGGCTGCAACGCTGTGCAGCACCGGTTCCAAGACAATGCTTTGTGTCTTATTTGTGGCCGACTTTTGTGCGCTTTATGTACTAATCTGTCTACAGCCATGGTTGAAGTGAGTCTCCTTTCCCGTATCTGTCTTTTCCTCTCTCGCTCCCTATTTTCCCAGCTGTTTTCGGGTGAGGGCTCCGTTGTGTGCTGTTTGTTCTCACTTGTCATGTTGACGGACACCTGGATGGTTACGTTAACTTCCTTAGTTTACAGAGTATCTACTTTCATTTGAACGCAGGCTACCTGTGAGGCATTTATCGTTTCCACACTGGAGTTCGCCGGCCTCATGATGCACGAGCGTCACCAACCTTTTGAGTTCTTAGGTGCAGTGGGCTCAGTTGTCGCTGCGGTCTGATTATATATATGGTTGGCGGCATCCGATTTCGGATTTGCGTGTCACAGGACGCCTGCGTCTACAGAGGGACCATGGGTGGCTTGGGCTACGCCACCCACAGCTAGTGTAAACCCAAAGACCGGGAGGCATGTGGATAGGAGCCACGTTTCATCAACGTTAACCACATCACCTCAGCTCAATTACTGTTCTCAATCGTTGTGGCTTCTTTGCAGTGACATCTAAATCTGCTAGTGTCCCGCATAACCAGAAATGCACTAGATGACCGCTTCGACTTGCTAAGTCTCGCCAGTAGTGCGTATCCATCGGAACGTTCAGGACTCGAACTTGTGACCGCTTGTCGACAGCTTATGCCACTGATCCATGGGGGACGGTGGTGAACTGTCGTGATTTACAACCAAACTGCGATATAGCACCATCTTATCCTCCACTGCCATGAAAGTTGCAAACTTCGCATAGGACAAGTTTGACCTCCGAAAGACGACCCAGCAGATCAAACCGGCCGTCTACAGTATTTCTGGACTTACAGAGCACTATCTGATTTTGTAGTTTCTGCGAGGAAACCCGTAACAAATAAGTACATAGTTTATTTTCAACAACGCGAGGGATAATCATTGTTCTACAAACACTTAGGATCCCAATGTAATATAATTGCAACACGTGGTGAACGCACCAAACATCCCGACGTCCGAAAGACTATTAGACTTTCATCTTAGTGATAAACCTAACTCAACAGTGTGATAAAGTGCGATGTCTAAACTACTGTTAATTCACGTTTCACGTTGTAATCTTTTGATTTCAATTTTCTTTTGCATTTTCTGCCATGTGGGTCTTGTAAAATTATGTTTTTATCCCATCACATACTATTGGAACAAAACTTTACTCGTTTACTAGTAACATACTCGATTTATGTATGTGCATGTATGTTTGTCGCTTGAGTTTGTAAATGTGACGCTGCGTTTGTGATTGTGTTCCGTCGGGTCGCCAGCGCAAGGAGAAATCACAAGAAATCTTTGTATTGGACGACTGACCTCCGTGGAGAGAGTAAGATCATCCGGCTAGGCAAGATGCTGAGTCTTTTCGTGGCGAATCACATCAGCAACGTCTGTTGTATTTGTGTTCCTAGACGCCAAACTTGTCTTGGATTCGGTAAATCGATGTGTCCTTTGGGACTGTTTAATCAGGAAAGGTTTTCCCGAGAAGTAGATGAGCATTATCACATCGCTTTAAGCGCAAGCTTATAACCAACTGTCACCACCCTACAGTATCTCGAGCAACAGTGAAAAACCTGTTGTCACTTTTTTAGTTCTCTTGACGGGGTCATAAAAACTGCGTCCACTGGTGCATCTCCCAGGTGATCGAATTCGTTATTTTGTGTATGCCGACGACATTGCCTCAATCTGTTGCAGTTCCCACGCGTGCCAAGCAGCACCGGACAGATTAGCACAGTGTACAACCGTCTTGGGCTGTGCTTTTCAACTTCCAACTGCAGAGCCTTTCATTAGAATTCGCAGGTACCAACTCTGTGCTGACCGTTAGTTGGGATCGGCTAGAACTCGTTCAGAAATTCGAACATCTTTAGCAGCACTTGTGAAATAGAAGATATGGTCACGAACTATGTGACAGACTATCGCGGCACTTCTGTTCAATTTCATTTTTTAAACGTTTGTCCTAATCTTAACTACATGCCCTAACCAAGTCATGCTTCACAGTGACCAAGTGTATCCCGTCCGGTGTGTTAAAGATAACAACGTTTTCTACCCGACTCATTCGTTCACGAATTCCTGCAAGTGATTTGCGTTAAGCTTATCTCTGGCACACCGACTGAGCATGACACCTATGCCAGTTTCTCAAGCACCTGACTGATTTCTCCTTAGCATTTGTTTAAATACAGTTATCTCATTTTCATGTTTGTGCATTTTGCTAGCAATCTCAGGCTTCAGCATGTGCAATAGCACTGTGCCTTTGGTTCCTCCTAGCTGGGTCTCACTTTTTCCATATCGTTCTAAACAATCAAATTTCCATTTTGATCAAGCGAAGTAAATCTTTTTGATTACCGAGCTTTGAGTCGCCAATTGGACGCCTGTTGTCAATTATTTCCAGGAAACAGATAGTTTTCTTGTCAGGCGTGTTATCCAAATCCAGGAAACTCTAAGAAAATGTTTTCTGTAGTACAGAATTGGAGTCGAGCCATATGCCATGTTTGACGAAGAATTACTACATGAGACACCTTTCAACCGATTAAATGCTGATTCAGACTACAAAAAAGAGAACACTGACGCAAAAACGCTCCGCTTTTGGTTTCACACTACTCTGATTTTGCGCCCCTGGTGACGTTGTAATTCGCGTTATTAACTGCTGATCGGGCGGTCAGCCGCGACAAATCAAATTAATGCGTCAATCGCTATCAATGAGATGCTCGCACTAGACTATGTGGCAGCGCAGTTGGGAACGTTCGGTTGGCGTGAGCGGACGTTGGATTCGCGACGACTCGGGAAATGTGATTCCACTGACTGAAAGATAACTTGCAGTTAGTCTACGCAACGTCCGATTGTTCTCAACCATATCTGGTTGGCGAGCCCATAAGACGTGCGTTTGGCCGAGGGTAAAAGATCAAAGTTCCATGTGAAGGATGTTGTGGATATGTGTGTGAAATTCGGCTATGTTTCTGTCAGGAATTTAGTAGCGTGGTAAACAATGATGCAATGAGTACGGCGGTTTGATTCCAGCTCGGTGGGATAGCACTCGTGAATCCGTGTTTAACGGGCGAAGGCACTGACATGATAAAACAAATCGACGGTAAGTCAGAGCGCCGAAACTATGCGACCACACCGCTGACACACAATCTGGTGCTCGATTCATTTCGCTCATCGCCTCTTTTGATATGTAAACTCTGCTTTAGTCTAGATGTACCTCACACTGGGTAACTGGACGGTTAACGTTGCCGTATTCATCTATCTATTCTCTAACTTCCCGGTTACTTTTTTGTGTTCAAAGACGGAGCATAAACTGTCTCAATCCTTGCCTCATGGCGGGCCATTCAGCCTTGCCAACAGGCTTTTGGTGTGTGACTATCGTCACTTTGACACAGTATTTCTATTCTGCTATGTAATCATTTACTTTATAAATTCACAGTGCTTGCTTGCTAGCAATACTACTTGACGGACAGATAACAGCCAGTGCTGGGCATTGCTTACCAGTTGATCAGAAAGAGCACACGAACATAGGATAACTCAATACACATATGATGGCTCATCCGCCGTCATGGCATAGACACGTGTCTTACCACTGTGCCCTGCATGACTTGCATCATCCCTCCCTTGGCATCATCCTTTCGATAACTAGCGACACAGCATTGTGACTATCCGTGAGACTTCGTGTTTGAAGGCTCCGCATCTGGGATTTACACATTTCGGGGCAACGAATCGCATCCGGCTACTGATTTGTGGGTGGAAGAGATAGGTATTTCCATTCATCTCTGAGCAAGCCCAATGTTCTCCTTAGGGAGGTTAACATACATTTTGCTTTGACATCTGTCCTCTTTCATGAATAAACTTATCGACTGACACTTTCCCGCATTCTCCGCCCTAAAATGAAGATGTGTGATACCTTAGTATCGTAAAAACCCGGTAATTGATCCACTTTTTGGCTTGGAATGTGCCACACATATATCAGTGTTTCTGACATGGGCTGTGCTGTTATAATGCTGTAAACCATGTTAACTGATGCAGTTGTTTTAAAATATTCACTATGGCCATGATAACAGCACATACACAGAACCAATGTTGCATAACGCAAGGGTAAATAAGGCCACTGTTTATGTGAAAAAATTACAACACTCATTTTACAACATTATTAAATACTTAAGCAAATTGTACGGAAATGTTTTTTAGTGTTCGACAGGCCTTTGCTGATGGAGCACACTCGTCATCAGAATCAGCAAAGATTTCTAGTCGGTTGTCACTGACATCACCGACGGAGGACAAGTAATCGGCTTCTCTTAGATAAACTATGGCTGCCGAGTCACTTTCTGTTTCAGCACAAAGCTCGATTCCGGTAACAACCTCTTCGGTTGGACCCAAGACACTTTTCCCAGGCTGGACGTTCAGAGCTTTTATGCGTTGTGGTAAATTTTTTCCAACGATGGCGAAGCGCATTTCTTTCAGTTGTCGTGTGAATACCTAATTATATATATATATATATATATATATATATATATATATATATATATGCTCCATGCTGAGACTTGTGTTGCATTCTTGATGCTTCTTCACCGCAATTGGGCTAAACCAACTTACACTTATACTAGGTCTTTTTAAGCTGGATAAATTTCATTCCGCTTTATTTGGTTTGTTCTGCCTCCCTGAATAATGTTCTATTAACTGGCCACGTTGCTTACACTAATTGCGCTTATCTTCGGTAATTTTGTTGCGTTTGTAGCATTTTAAGTAACTTGTGGACATTTCTTACTTATCACGGTTTTGTTGCTGACCAACTTACTTCATATGGTAATTTAGCGAAGAGTTATGCCACCGTATCTGTATGCATTATTGGATTTATTTTATTTCAGCTTGTCGTTTAAATTGAATGGCTGTTGTTTGATATCCCTGGTATGGTTGCGCTTGATGTGCATGTTGACAAGGTGCCTACCTGTCTATTACCCACTACATCGTTCATACTGGCTCCAGGAGACAGTTGGTCGTTGCTGGAGGGGACGGGGTGCACGGTCCTTGTGGCCGTGCTAGGCTCAAAGTGCGGTTCCATGCACTCAGTGTGGAGCGGACTACGGTCCAGCCACCGCCTTGTGTGCGGTTGATTCCCCAAATACAGCGTGCTTGTGTTTGCCTGTGAAGGAGTGTGGGCCGGCTCCGTTGATGAAACGTGGTTCCCATCCGCATGCCTCCCGGTCTTATTCCTTCGGGCTTACACTGGATATGGGGTGTGTGGTTGGAGCTGTGGGTGGTGCAACGCAAGCCATCCATGGTCCCTCTGTAGGCGCAGGCGTCCTGTGGCTTGCCACAGTGACAGGCAAATCCGAAACCGGATGCCGCCAACCATGCCCCATGCTGAGGCTGATGTTGCATTCTTGATGCTTCTTCACCGCAGTTGGGCTAAACCAACTTACATTTAAACTAGGTCTTTTTAAGCTGGATACATTTCATTCCACTTTATTTGGTTTGTTCTGCTTATCTGAATAATCTATTAGCTGCCCACGTTGCTTACACTAATTGCGCCTATTTTCGGTGATTTCTTTATGTTTGTAGCACTTTTTAAATAAATTGTGAACATTTTTCCTTATCGCTGATTCATTGCTAACCAAATTATTTCATATGCTAATTTAGCGAAGGGTTATGCAATCATATCTGTATGCATTATTGGATTTATTTTATCTTGTCGTTTCAATTGATTGGCTGTTGCTTGATATCCCCCAGTGTGGCTGCGCTTGATGTGCATGTTGACAAAGTGCCTACCTGTCTATTACCCACTACCTCGTTCATACTGACTCAGGAGACAGTTGGTCGTTGCTGGAGGGGACGGGGTGCACGGTCCTTGTGGTCGTGTTAGGCTCGAAGAGTGGTTCCATGCACTCAGTGGGGAGCGGACTACGGTCCAGCCACCGTCTTGTGTGCGCTTGATTCCCCAAATACAGCGTGCTTGTGTTTGCCTGTGAAGGAGTGTGGGCCGGCTCCGTTGATGAAACGTGGCTCTCATCCGCATGCCTCCCGGTCTTATTCCTTCGGGTTTACACTGGATATGGGGTGTGTGGATGGAGCTGTGGGTGGTGCAGCGCAAGGCACCCATGGTCCCTCTGTAGGCGCAGGCGTCTTGTGGCTGGCCACAGTGACAGGCAAACCCGAAACCGGATGCCGCCAACCATATATAGATGTTCAACACGACCAAAAGTACAATTTGCGTAATGCCATAACGTTGGGAAAATACGATAAACCTACACGATGACAGAGGAAAAAATACGATGTTCATGGGAATACTGTGAGTCACAACAAGTCCGCCATTATGCATGATTTCTCGCCATATCCGAGATTGTTTCCAACCATACGTGTTCCGAATCCTTCACACTTCAGCCAGTGAGTCGAGAGCGCCCGACGACGGCTAACTTTGACCTTAGCTCCTTCATGTTCTTGCCCAAGTCACACGTTGGCCATCTTGCTTTCTCTTCCAGCCTACTTCTGCGTACGCGAAGAGGACATGGCGAGATAAGCGATGTGTAAGCATGCGGAGAATGTGCCTAGGCCACTGAAATTACTGCTCAGTGACCGGCAAAGTCTGTCTCATCTGAAAATTCTTCGTCGGTTATCTTCATCCCTAGTGTGATGTTGCCATTGTACACCAGTAATGCTCTGAAGGCAGCAATGTTGAAAACAGACAACTTCTCAACATCCTTTGCGCGAAGAGGCCGTCTCGCGGCCATAGGGGAGAACCGGCCTTTCAGAGCTAGACTCAGATCAGCTAGATGCCAGAGATGGCGGAGATTGGCAAAAGCAACCCGAGTTTTGGAGACGCGGAAAGTGACCTCACTTGTTAAGCCATTAGCGCTGAGGCAGCTTTCGAGGCAAACGAACTTGTCTACCACTTCCAATGAATGACCTAGAAAGATAAGGCCAGGAATAGTGTCTAACCAGTCCTGCAGGAAAACCTTGCATTTCGATGGTGCGAAGGTCATTCCAAACTGGGAGACAGACATCTCCAATCTACACAGAACATTTTGAGCGACTTGTGAGCAAGCGCAGATTACGGCTATGTCGTCTGCATACTCAAAATTCCGAAGTCGGTCCCCCGGAAGCAGCTCGACGCCGCTGGGCTCGCAGTTCTCCAGAGTTGTCTCCAAGATTTTATCTATAGCGAAATTGGACAATAAGGGGGATATTGGGCAACCCTATCTCACGACACTAGTGATACCAAAGAGACGCAAAAGTCCGCCGTACCCTCGCACTCGGCCCGTGGTTTGAGAGTAGATGGCTTGAAGCAAGGTGACATACTTCTCGGGCACCCCCTTCTCAGTGGACAACTCCAGAGAGCAGCTCTGTCGACTGAATACAACGCGGCTCGTATGTCTAAGACGACGACGCTCGTTGGCTGGCCGAATCTTTGGCAACGCTCAAGTATTTGGTGGAGTGTAAAGATGTGATCGATTCAACTCCGATTTGAGCGGAACCCAGCTTTCTCTTCACGTATGCTTGTTCGCGTACCAGGCTGAGCCTCCTTAGAAGCAGAGCTGCAAGCACGTTGGAAGCAACACAGATGAAACTAATCACTCTGTGGTTGGTGCAGTCAGTTTGGGTACCCTTTTTGAAGACGGACACGATATCCGCTAGGCTCCAATCAGATGGGATAACTTCAGTGACCCAGATCTCTTTTAGGAAAGAATTTAACTCCTGAACAACTGATGGGCCACCATCTTTGAAAGTGCCGGAGGGAGTTCATCTGGACCAGGGGCTTTGTAGCGCTTCAAAAAGCGACGCTCGTGGGGAACCTCAGCCTCGGTTAGTGGTGAAGCGTCTACACACCAGGGAGCACTCTGGGCTCCGGAATAGAAACTCATTGGTGCTGCTGGCCAATTAAACTGATGCTCGAAGTGCTCGGCCCAACGCTCGAGTTGGCGTTTTTGACAGTGGATTGACTTGCCATTGGTTTCACTTCGCTTACAGTCAGCTTTTTGCCACCAGTAGATCGGATCAGGAGGAAAAGCTTACGGAAATGCCCTGAGGTGGCCGGTTGCTCCATCTCAATGACCCGTTGCGTCCACTAAGCCTCGCGATCTTCCCGGAGAAGCTGTTTGAACTTAGCGTTAGTACTCTTGTGTAGTGAATGGTTTTTAACGCTAGCACGAATCGTTCAGCGGGTTTCGAGAAGCTAGAGGGATCGTCCAGAGATCCAGTGCTTGACAGGACTACTGGTGGAGCCACAGACCAGGGTTGCAGAGTTGTACATGGCGCCGCGGATATGTGTCCCGTGTGTTTTACTGTCTGTGCATGAGGAAATCCTCAGCCGTGTTCCAAGACATCCTGAAATGCACGAAGAAGATTTGTGGCAGAAACCTTAGCTACGTCAAGCCGTTTCTGGCGACACTGCTGGGAGCCACCAAAACGTAGCACAATCTTGGCCCACACCAGCGCGTGACCTTAAGTGCGATAGGTAATCCAGATTGATTTGCAATCCTGTCTGCTGTCCCGCCAGCGATAGCTAATAGCGATGTGGTCAATTTGTGTCCAAGACTGGCCAGGTAATGGGTGTCTCCAGATGGCGCGTTGGCGCCAGGATCCCCGAAATCTAGTGCTCGACAGAAAGTGGTCGTGATCGGCGCAAACCTAAAGTAGTCGATCACGCTTGTCAGTTCGGCGAGCGCCATGCCCGTGTTGACCACTGAGTTTACCTTCGTCAACTTCAAGTCTGTCCTCTTTATCACATTGTCACAAAGTGACAACAGAGTTGATTATCCAGACACTTTTGTAGAAACATGGTTCACTGATGAAAGTATACCGTATGTTAAACACATGCAACGACACCAGTAATCTTTGACAAGATGTATACCCAAGTATGAATATTCCAGTTCATAATAAAATGATTTCAGAATAATGAAAAATGATTTTTCAACACAACCAATTTTACCACACACAACATAAGGAAAAGAATTGTGATCGGAGTTTTATACTTTTTCCATGTTGGCGCAAAGTTGCCCCCTTTTATGGTACTTGCGATTGACTGCTTTATCGACAAGAACACCTCGTCGGTAACCATAACACTGTCACATGCCATGCTTTAAACGTGCTCGATCTACGCTTCTCTTCCCGTTTTCCTCATTGTTTATGTTTCTTCGTCACTGTTTCTTTTTTCATTTCTGTCCATTTCACCTGACCTTTCAATCGATTTTTGTGCCTTCGCACAGCACGCCTATTCGTGTGAGGGATTCTCGGGAATAGCTCTCGAGGTGAACACTTCAATCGTGTATGTCTGCTTGGGTCGGAGCGTATGCGATTGGGGCTCCGTTTATCTTGATGCCTACGGTGAGGAGGATCTTGAACTAAAGTGAGTTTTGAACGTGCACTTTTTCCCTCACCAGTCATTTTTCTAGCTCCTCCGTTTTGAATCATTTTACACAACTGGTTCATCCTACTTTGAAGCACAAGTAGTTGTTCTTGCACATTGCAGGTTGTCACTAATTGTCTTCAATATGCTCATCTTGACTGCATTGGCCTACTCGTGCCTGGAAATGTGCGCAAATGCGTCCGTCACTTTTTCAGACTAATTCTGTACCATTCCATTTCCGTAACCGGCTTTTTTCTTTCACACCACCGCACTCTTTTTTCAGACGCGGCAAACCGTTATTCCTGAATGCAGAACGCTTCGCCCTTCTTGAACACCAGTGGTTGTCCCATTCGTTTCGACACGTACTGAAGCATTGGCGCATAGTGTAGCTCCCATCACTCAGATTCACTATTCCCACAGAGCCATCCAGTCAGCTCCACTCTCTCCTGCATTCTGCGCTGTCATTGTCGATGATGGCCAAACTCTGACGGCTACCGTTTGTTTTTTGTTTGTTCCCCTGAAGCCTGTTCTTTTTTGCATGTCATTTACCGCTGTATCCGCCACTCCCGTCCCGGCTTCTGTGAACCCCTTGCCTCCTCTACACTTGGCGGTCCTAGAGGACAATCGGACCAGTTTTGCTTGACCTCGCATCTTCCCGCATCACCACACTCGACACCGGTCCGTCACACCAGTTCATTTGTCCTTTGTCTGTTTTCTTGTCGCTAAACATTCTTTCTACTTTGTCTCTGCGGTCTTTGGAGTCGAGTTTCCTCCAGTAAATATCACTCAGAATTACTTTATTTCCCGCCTTTCTCTGTATGCAACCCGACGTACTCTCATTGATTTGCATGTGTGTCTCTCGAATTACCCCCGCCTTAAGCCCATTTGTGATGACCAGAAACTACGAAGAGTGAACACTCAGTTTTACATTTTAATTGCCCTTCCTCCTGCGTCTAGCGCATATGACTTGCTTTTGCCCCTACTCTCCACAAAAGGACCGCATTATTCCGTTCTTCGTTGCTTTTTTTCTACCACACGGGTAAAATTAACCGACAGGGTATCATCCACTTGCCTTAGGTACCTTTTTATTCGGAAGAGTTACGCACTGTGGACTGCTTTCATTTTATGCTGCAGATTTGGTACTATTTTCCACGCTAACACTGAGATGTCCGGGTGTTCCGAAACCAGTAACCAGTGCGGCTGATCAAGTAACAAGTTGGGTATCCACACCCAGTACTGCGCTTTGGGACATGGAAGTCCGACTACCGCACGCTTGCAATCGCTAGTTATGAAAAGCAAATGTCTGGTTCCTTTTGGATCCGGTTTGCAATGGTTGTTCCTTCCTCACCTAAAATACTAACTCCTGCCAGTTCTGCTGTGACTGTTGACTTCATGGAAACGAGCGTAGCGAATTAACCACAACTTCAACTGTCTAACCTTGTGTCTTTCAGTGGTCCTATCTACAGGCAGTGAACACGGCATTCTGCTGGCTGGTCCCTATTGCAGCCTCTTCTTATTACCTAAAAAACAAACATTACATTTCTTCCTTATCGCAACTGAAGAATCGTACATGGATATGCTAATTATATGCATGCAGTTTAAAGAGCGCGAACTTGTCTTCAGTTTCACACACAGTACCCGCGTCATGCCAGAGCGAATTAGTTGAGCAAGTGAACTGGGCCACTCGATGGTTTCGTCCAGGTAGCAATATTTCTAGAACCCAATTGGAGCAGTGTTCGTGATCGTCAGACCCCAGGATTGGCGCACACAATGCGATCAAGCTTAAGCTGAGTCTGCGTTCTCCATTTGCGTTTGTCCACTGTGGGGCACTATGCCCGTCGCTGGTTTTGAGATACACCATTAGATATAAGCTGTCTATTCTCGGTACGGACCGTTTCACAAAAGATTACTAAAACCAAACTAGATCATTTATGCCATCAGCCTAACGCATAGTGGGACCGCACAAGCTACTAAGTGCTGATAAGTTGCTTCATCCGAGCCGTAGACAAAGTGTTAACTACCTTGAGCTGATATCATTCGGTGGCCATTTAAGCGCTTGGATGTCCGAAAGCCGAGGTTTTCACAAAGTGCCTGTTGATGTTTTCCAATCGTTCTAACGTGTAGCCAGCACCCGCCTCGTGCAGTGTACCTTGTTCAATGTAGCGGAGATTTGAAGTCTTAGACTCCCTTAATTCAACATCACTGTGCACTTTGTTGCTACTCGGTAGATTAATACCACGCCATGCTTTCCATTTGTACGGGCGTTCGAATACTTAGCTCGTCCACTGTGTCACTGATCCACTTTCGAGGTGTGTACGTGCCCGTTCTACTGTGAATCCCTTCCCCACTCTTCCACATTGCTCTTACCCATTAAAGCATGTGCCCACCCGTTGAACATGTTGTATGTCATCACTCAAATCAGTCGTTTGACTGCCTGTCTATCCTTCGGTTGGTCGACTCTTAGTCGAAATATTCGAATCTTGCTGCATCTCAGACGCACCTTGACATCAACGCTTTTGTGTGCGTTGGCTGTTTGAACGCTTATTCGGTACTATTTTTTGTTCATCTAGAAGTGCAAACAAATGGAATTTGTTCTTGTCGGCAGTTATTCCGATCATGGATTCCGTCCTTGATGGAACCGAGGGTTGCACACTATTGTCGAGTCCTCAATAGGATGAAACGGCTACCGCGAATAACCCTGCATTACCTACCTCAAAACCTCCATCAATAAATATGAATTATGTTTGGTAAACAGCACCACTTACCTTGGATCCACTCTATGTTTTTTAAAGAGTTTGGGGTCGTTCATTCGCGTGGCTCACATCAGTGCTTGGATCGCTAGTTTGCTGGCCCAGTCTAACTCATCATTATACACGTTATCTAGAGGTGGGAAACACCGCAGCTACTCTGCCGCAATACATAAAATAAAAAAGAAAATAAATCCAACAGTTGCCCGCCAGCAACGGATAAGCATCGTTCCGGAAAGCTACCAGCCTGCTAATATGCAACAAAAATATTATTATTTAAATTATACTATGCTACGAAATGAGATCGCAGTTGGAGATGGAGGCTAACAGGGATCGGGTGGGACAGAAGAACTCAGCACGAACGCCACTGAGGTCGGCTCCCAGCCAGGTCAGCAAATATATCTAGCCAAACGTGTTCATCGTCTTTCGAACCCCAACCAGGGAGCCGTGACGCTCCAACCGAAGCCAGCTTCGAAATGGGCCTTCATTCCTCTCGACAAAGTCATCGCTTGGCCACCTCTCCTCTTCTTCCATCCAAACCCTCGGCGCGCAGACAATGCACGTCGCAGGAGCCGGTGAGCTGGCATGCGTAACACGTGGCTGAGCCATCGGAGCCTGGTGTATGAAATGACGGTGCTGAGCGGTTCATTTCCTTTGCCTGTGCCGTAAACAAGCCGTCGAACACGCTCGGTGTTCCCACCAGATATGAGCCATACTGCGAAGACACGATGGTCGAACGTAACTAGCCTCTTTATGTCTGCTGATCTAAGGGGATAGATTTCGCAAGCGTACGGTAGGGTCGAACGTACGGCTGCGTTGTACACTCTACGCTTCAGGGTGAGAGTGATGTCGCGCCGGCGCCATAGGTGGCGAAGATTAGCAAAAGTGTCTCGAGCTTTTGCTATACGGTTCATGATCTCATCTTCGATCCCAAAGGAGTTGATACAACTTCCCAGGTAGTTGAATTTCTGAGCTACTTCTAGCTTATCCCCACCATGGGTCAGCGCAGAGGCGATCCTTGCCCATCTTTGAGGTGATCTTTGCACTTCGAGGGTGCAAAGCGAAGCCCGAAGCAGCTGACAGTCATCGCTAATCTCTCAGTGCTGCTTGGCACGTTTGTGAGCTGTCACAGATGTGGGCAATACCGTCAGCATACCGCATGTCAAGAAGTCGTTCTCCTAGGAGTAGCTCCACACCTTCTAAATCATATCCTGTAAATGCAATCTCCATGACTTCGTCAATAGCGAAATTAATGAGGAAAGATGACAGTGTGCATCCTTGTCTCACACCGCTGGAGATATTGAAGGGTAGCGATAGCTTGCCGTGCTACGCTCGTACTGCGCGGATAATATTTACATATTTCTCAAGCACTTCTTGCCTTAGCAGACAGTCCCAAAAGCCACACCGATGCACCGAGTCGAATGCACCTTTAATATCGAGGAAAACGATAATGGTGGACCACCAATATATGTGAGGGGCTCCAAAAGCTGACGCAAAATGAAGATGCGATCGATGCAGCGCCGACCTGGACGAAACCCTTTTTGCTCTCCACCAATCTGGCTTTCACGAGCGCCAGTCATTCTGTGATGGAATACAAAGATAAGTCATTTGGAGGCGATGGAGATCAGACTGATTCCTCTATGGTTGCCGCGTTCCGAACGCGAGCCACTTTTGAAGATCGGAACAATAACGGAGCGGCTCCAGTCGGTTGGGACAATTTCCTGCTGCCACACTTTCACTAGTACTTCTTGTAAGTCATCAACAAAAGCAGGGTCCTTCGAATTTGAAGAGGGCTGGAGGAAGATCATCTGGTCCTGCGGCTTTGTTCAACTTCAACAGTCCTATCTCACGTTCGACTTCTGGGCGAGAGGTCGGATCCAAATGGACAGCCTCGGGGAGCATGACGGTCACTGACTGGTGAGAAATCCAACAATTCCGACCGATTAAATTGACTTTCAGAATGCTTTGCCGAACGCTCCAAGCGTTTTGAAAGTTGAGGATATGCTGTCCACTCTCGTCACGTACAGTTTCACTAACCTTAGGTCTCCTGCTGCTTGCTTCCCATATCAGACGGAATAACTTCCGATGGTTCCCCAGGGCAGCGACCACTTCCATCTCTGGCGCATGCAGAGACTACCAGGATTCGCGGTCTCTTCAGGATAACACAGTGTTTCGCCTCTAACTCTTTGCGAGTTTTATTGTGTTCGTTTCCAGTCGGAATATGCCGCCGATCATCGATAAGTTTCAGAGACCGCGAAGAGACCCAGTTTTCATGTTGGCGCTTAGACTTACCACATGAGGGTTTTCCTGCTACTATTAAGGTCTGGTGAATATGAGATCAGTGAGCTTCAATTACATCCAGTGAGCGCTTACTCAATTTGCATGATAGCGTACTTTGATAGGCATTTAGAACAGCTGGCTTTGTCAGTTGGCTGGTCTCAATGCGCTCACAGCGTCGTTGTGGGCTTTCGCCAAAACGCATCCACAGGTCAGCACATACAAATGCGTGGTTGGTGTCCACACATGTGCTCCAAATCGAGCGACAGTTCTGGACGCAGCCTCTCCATCGGTAACTTATCGCAATGTGATCGATTTGCGTCCAAGGCTGGTTCGAAGCTGGCGGGCGCTGTGTCGAAAGTTAGTGCTCGCAAGAAATAAGCGAGCGTCCTCACACAAATGAAGTAACGGCTCACTGTTATCATTACGGGAGCCTATACCATGTTGGTCGCCCAGATGCAGCTCATCTGTGGATAATTTTCCAACTTGAGCGTTCAGATTCCCAGCCAGCACTACAGTGTCCGTGCTTCTTCTGTGGAGAAGGAGCTCGTTCAGTTGGCGAAAGAAGTCGTCATTTACCGGGTCATCGCTAGAGTTTGGGGTGCATAGGCAGCGATAACGAATAGACACCTGTTAGTCCCGTGCGGCTTCGAAGCTTTGAACGAGCCAGCCAATCGGACCGCACACACATCCGGCTACGGATTGGAATCCAATCAACCAAAGTAGCTTCAGCCCGAGGACTCAGGGCAATACCAACACCGGCCTGGTCGGTACTCAAAGCTGCATCATCTCCGGATAGGCGCAATGAGAAAGTTTTGCTGATGTCACTTGAAGGCTATCGCAAAGTGAGCGCAGAGCTCGTGTCTTGCAGGCGGGTCTCCGATAAGCAGCAGGTATCGATGGGGTGGGTCTCTAATTTTCGGGCAAGTGCTGCCTGTTGACCGATCTGTAGCAATGTGCTTACGTTGAGACATGCCAATCTGAGGGAG